TGCTCTTGAGGACATCATGATAGCCACTCCATAACTCAGTGTGCTCGTGGTTGTCGTCTGGGTGACAATATCGGAGTAGATTATTGATTCTCCAGTTGACAGTTTGGAGACTCCACTCCCATTCCATCTGCTTTCGCAAATCCCAAGCACTTCGATGTGATACCTTCTCATCTCTTTTGCAATCTGGGCTGCCTTACTGGGTTCAAACATCGTGCGGACATTCCATGTCCCCACGTTTACTTTCGCTTTCATCGAGGGAGAGAAGACACATCGGCCAATTGGCTTCCCGAAGGCTTTCACCAACTGGCGTCATTTCGCCTCTCCGATTCGAGCGAGGAATAAGTTTGTTTTCATTTTTTATATTTTGTTTGTGCTTTGAAGTTTCTTTAGCGGTCAGATTTGTTTTACGGGGTAGGGTTGCTAGCCCTATGCCCAACCTTCCCTCTTTACCCGGGCTTAGGACCGGCTAGTAACTAGTAAACTAGTTAACCAGGCGAGGTTTTCAATTACCAGTTGCCTCTTTATTTCTGTGATAGTTGGAGGTTCTTGCAACTTAGAGAAATTTCACTATCAAAATGTACAGAAATGTTTAAATGAATCGATCGGACATAGAATTATCGACTTGAAGAGAAAATTACGTTGTGTTTACGTAATTTACGTCACAAAAATTGACTGATTATATTAACGAGAATTTTTAGTGTGATTGTCTATATATAGAATAATTCGATGAACACTCTAAGAACTATAAAAAGAGTTTAACAGCAAAAAGATATTTTTATTAGACGTGCTGAGTACTAAACTCGTTTAACGTAGAAAAAAAAATATTAAAGGACGAGAATTTGCATAAGGTAAGAAAATAGGACAGATAAATAATCTTAGACAGTAAGGTCAATAAGAGTGCATGAAGTCCGATATCAAGGAAGTGCAACTTCTCATCCCGTTCATATTCCATAGTAAATTCTGTGTTAAAGTATATTTAGGATGATTGCCAATGTGGATGAATCACCAACTTATCTGCTGTAGAACAGTTGCATAGAGGTTCCTCTTTAATTGTTCTCCCTAGATATTATCCGTTTATGAATTCATTAATGTAGGTTTTGCTTTTTTTCACTGGGATACAATAGTATGAAGTACATGCCAAATGTATTATTAGATAGATACTGATGGCATACTGTGTAGGAGGTTTTATTACCTAATGTATACTTTACTGATGACTGATCTGAAGATTTTCTTTCTTGTCCAGTGTATTAGCCAACAACGAATTAGGTATCTAAGATATATGATACTTATACCCAGCACCTGCATACTTTGACTTGCAATCTTATCTTGAATAGGGTTAGTTTGGACGAAATTTCTCAGTACTTTAGGTATTATTGCCTGAGATTTCCCGTCATTGATTTAACGTAATTACTAAGGCCACTATCGGCATATGCGTTCGTGCTCAGATGCCTCGATATTGTCATTGATTTCAGTTTAATTGTAATGATGGATATTGGCTACCAGTGGAATCCAGGACGTGGGTTTAATCCCATTTGTGACCCACCTGCTGGACGTGCCTACATCCAAGTAACTGATGTCCCAACTAGAACTCGAGTGTTATCCACCCGACCACTGAGTCACAATGACCACTCCACTGCTGGCCACAATCCACCATTATTACCAAACTAAAATCACTGGCAGTATCAAAATATCCATGCAGAAGCCCGTATGCTACTAGTGGCCAGTCACTTTGGTTCAGTCAACGATAGGAACTTAAAAGCAATAACATCGAAAATATACCTGTCCTAAAATGAGCAGGCATCCTGATTCAGTGACCTAGTGGACAACTGTTTGGCATTTGAAGCGTTTGAATTTGGGTTCAAGTCTTAGTCGGAGCAACATCTGCCACTTGGAGGCAAGTACATCCAGTTGGTAAGTCACAAATAGGATGAAACGCGAGTTCTGGATTCCATTGCTAACCACTATCCATCATTATTATCAATACATACAATGGAAGATCATTGGTATAAGTTGTTTGGTTAAATGTAGGTAGCGTATTCGGTTTTTGTGGATATTGTATTATGTGATATGGCTCAAAATCAGCCTCATTCATATAAATTTATTTAAACTTTTTTATCATCTTACCAATCATATTATTCAGTACTACTTGTAATTTCCTGTTGAACATTATACTGCAAACAGTAAATCACTCTGTATTGGTGTATTGATCCTCCAACGGACGTCTTGGTGGTAGCTCACACTGGAATCTAGGATATACGTATTTTACTACTTCAGAGTCGTTGAATAAAATGCGGCATTTGAGACAATATAGCTTTATGAATAACTCCCGTAAGTGTGAAGTGATTAGTACTGGGTCTAAATATGAATAAAAACACCATCAATCGATGGAATACATGTTCATCCAGCTATCAAGTCTAAAATAGGACAACGCATATCCTGTAACCCACTACTAGCTACAATAGAGCAAATTACTAATTTTCATTGAATTGTTTGGCTTCATCTCTTATCTGTTTTGATTATTTTATTATCGCTCTAATTGTAGTGATCTCTTTATTATCCACCGTTTTGAAGTGTGGCAATCCGAAGTTTACAGTTGTGTTATTTGCATGTTAAGAAATATACTACTTTTTTCCCTAAAGCTCATTTACTTCATCTTTTTATCATAAAGTAGTAGAAGTGAAGATTAAATTTTGTGTAATATGAGTAAACTAATTTATAGACTTAAGGTTGGAATTCCTCATGGACTGACATCATTTGGAGGAACTTTGGAAACATGGGAGCACTGGACAGCTGTTTCGTTCTAGTATGGGACTCTTTAGCAGTATACACCCATGACCCCCCTAGGAATTTGTTTATTTCGCCTATTCATTTGTTGTTAAGAAAAATCGATTGTTATTTGTTATTATTTTACTGTAAATTAAGCATATAAAGGGACGGCAGTCGAGATTTCAACATTTTATTTACATAATGCAGAGAGATATCCATCCACTCCGTGATGTTTTACTGTAGACAACGAAACAGATGAGGTTGTTTAGTGAATAATTGCACTCAATGAGTATAAGATAAGATTATTACATTAAATGAACTTAACGCAAACGTTATCTGCATTCTACATTCCTGATGAATTGTTTTTGACTTTGTATTACTTCGTTTGCCTTTTGTATTTTCTCTTTGCATCTCGTCTCCTTCTATAGAATCCCTACCAAAAGAAATGTTAATTATAATTGTCTTCCTTAACGTAATCACTCCATGTACTACTGATATATATTTCTATATGTTTTGCAGGGTTTAGTGCTACTTTCTGTTGGATTATCATAACTCAATTTGACACTCAGTCTTCTTAGTTTGCATCTCAGTGAAGTTAACTGCTTCCATTTAACATTATGGTTGTCATTTCTTACTATGATATAATTTTCGGTACGTAAGGTATGTCATGAGATCTGAATTACTTTGACGTATTCATTTGGAATATAGTGAGGAGGCACAATAGTTCCTTTAAAATGTGATCTACCAGATTAGTTGGATCAGTTATGATTTTCATATTGCAAAACAAGTCACTTTACTAAGAGAAGGATAATTCACAAACAATACTTTCCGCAAATGAAGAGATGATAAAATTTGCGTAGTTTGACGTTTCTTCCTTGTGATAGTAGGGAAGATCTGTAGCTCAGGATGAAGATGAAAATTGCATGATGTTTTCCGACCTTTGACGTTTGTTTGGAAGTATCATCATCAGCTTTCACTTTATATAGAAGTGAAGCATTTTAAGTTGCATGAATATTCATCAGGGATATTTCCCTACCTTAAGCGTTATTGGCTTGTGAGTAGGACTGATCTATCCTTATATTTTTTCAGAGGTTGACTTTCATAATCGTTGTTATCTTTTGACCTACGCTATTGATCTAATGTCTTATTATTGGTGTGCTTGATTGATTACCAGTTGTCTCTTTTTAGTGGTCTGTGTATTGAGTCAATATTCATGTGTCTGCTAGTTGCCATTTGATCGGAGTGCTATGCTTCCAGGGAGTTTCTGATTATTTCTAAGCCTGATTGTTTCTGCATTGTCATGCACTTCCTGTGTTTGGCATGTTGCCATGTAAGATTAATATGGCTTTCTAGATTATATATATTACAATAAATGAAAATATTAGTTAAAATTAAGCTCAAAATTACTCATTTTGCACAATGTTTGAACGCAATAATGACCACTAAAGTCAGTCACGCTGTACAAAGCCCAGATGGCAACATTGCGAATACTAGCTGTGTTTTCACGTTGTTCACTGTATTTGAACCATCTGCTTAGAATTCATTGTTTGTTTATAATCAGGTTTGATAGTATTTACAAGTTTCCTGTTTCAATAGAGTTACACCTTGCAGTCTCGACTCAAGAACTGTATTATAGCCCTATTTGCTAAGCTGTGAGTTACAGCTTTTATGTGAGGTCGCACTATCTAACTAAACACATCTTATTAAATGGAGTTGGGTTAAAAATCACAAACTGTTGATTGGAAATTAACCTTTCGGAGTGTGTTGGTTTGAGTTCCACTGTAGAATGACTAACAATTATGATTGATGTTAATTTTCCAATTAAAACTTAACCATAATGGTAAGAATACTCACGTTAAGCTTTTCTTGAGTAAACACATCTGGCACTCAACATTCCCACGTCAAAGATTGGTCAACATCACTCATATATTTTTCTTCTGGGTAATCAGCACTTTATAGTGTAGCTCCACGAACTTCGGTACGTGGAACTAGACAGTGACACATTCTTAGAAAATGGAGAGCCTTATTCAATGGGCCACACCTCCGATTAATACGTACATAAAAGACTGACCAAAGATGTTTCTAATGATCATATAACTTTTCTTTTTCCTAAAAAGGAATAACATTCGGAGGTTAAGTTTGCACTGAAGAGAAAAAGTGTGATAGATGAGCAAAATAACATCAAAGTATTTTTCATTTGCACTCTCTAAACCATACCTTGCTTTTCATTACAGGTGAACACAAGCAGTGGATTTCAAAGTGTTCACTTAGTTCGTTTGCGTAATCCATGGGGAAATGATCGTGAGTGGTCTGGTCCGTGGAGTGATCAGTCCAGAGAATGGAGAAGTATTCCATCCGATGAAAGGAAACGAATCGGTCTCACTTTTGACCAAGATGGAGAATTCTGGTGAGAATTCATTTTTGAAGATTCTGGGCACCTGAATTTGAGATGTTGTAATAATCATGAAGAAAAACTTGGTCTTTTTTGACTATCTCTTCTCCTGTTGACTACTTTATTGAGAAAGTTAAGTTGTTCTCATACTGTGGTAGCATGTTTTAATCTAGTTATTCACTTAAAATTCACTCTGTCTGTATTTGTCGCTCATCAGAGATGGATTAGATAAAATCTGATTATGTTGCGACATAGAATTATCAGAACACAAAAACATTTACTTTAATGTACGCGGTCAATTGATAGGTTCGCTGTGATGCTTCAAGCTAATCAGAGGGAAATCGGGTAGCTAACTGACTGATTGATGAGACAGATGAGTAGTCCAAGTTCCCATTCTTCAAGCGACCACATTTAAGCGATATGGTAGTCAATAAAAGAACTAAAATAAACACAAAATCGGTGTTATCAACAAGAGTGAAAAATCATATTAGGGTGAATGGTATTAGTGAAAGCCGCTGATCGCTGTGCATTTTGAAGACGTTCGTTTTTGCTTGTAATAGAATTTTCTAGAGATAAGAACTACAGATGAAAATTATTGGAGATTGATTTACCAGACTTGAAAAATTCACCAGCACTGACTGAACTATAAAACACTTTCAAATGCTACAAACCTGGTACTTGAAAATTGTCGATATTTCCACCTTACTACTGATTAGTAGTCATAAATATTGACTTAAAAGTATTAGGTTGGAACGATGCACCAAACGAGTATGGTTTCCAGAAGATTTTTTGAGGTTCAATAAGAATCTAGATCGCAGAAGGATTCTAACCAGCAATCCTTTTGTTGCCGATCCGGTGCTCTACCAACTGAGCTACAAGGATCAGAAGTTAACTATATGCTAATTTCACTCCGATCATAAGTGGTTTTACCAGGTTACAATATGAATCCGTGTCACATAGCTGTTCGTTCATCGTAATTACCCTGACTGCGCAGCCAGCTGTTTTCGTCCCCATCTAAATTGCACTATGTTAGAGAATGAGAGCGCTGTGGCTATTTGAGACAGGTGTGGTTTGGGAGACTCATAATATTGATATTTGGTTATGACTGAAGGGTGTAGTGCCTCGGGCCGGTAACACGAAGGCTATTGGTTCTAATCTTGCTGTGAACCAGGTTTTCATTTCGCGCTTGATTATTATCTAGTTTGACCTTTACCAACTTGACAAACCACGGTTATTTCAGATATTCAAACTTGGAAAATGATTTCGGTAATTGGAAGAAGAAATGTTTTTAAGGTATCGATCGCTCTAATAGCGAAAAGCACCATCTAGGTTATACACTGGATTCAAATGTTTGACTGGTTTAACTTACCGTTATTGACGTTTGGTTGAATCTTCAAAGCATCATTCAAACCTAGCGAAATCACACTGCATTTGGTAAGGAAATTGAGTTGCTGAAAAATATGATACAGCTATGGATAGAAGTAGTTAAGCCATAAATGTAAGTATAGAATTTTGCCACTGTGATAGAACTTAATTCTGCATTATATTAATCTGTGTGCTACATCAAATAAGGTCATAGTTGACATGCATTTACCATCTTTGTAACTGAGGAGACTCTTACTTCAACTGATCGAAAACCAATAGAATTAAAAATCTCGAAATGAGTCTAGTAGTTTATCGTTGCAGTTTTTTGTACTTTGATGCATTCCTTGGTATCCATATTGGATCGAGTGCATATTTAAAGTTAATAAATAAATAAAACTACACGAGACGAAAAGCATCATAGATGGTGAGAAAAATTAAACATGAAATACAGTAATAAATTGTCAACAAAACATGTTAAAGATCTGTATGTACAACGGAAGTCCATTTTGAAATACGCCCCTGGCGTTTTTGTTTACAACTTATTTTCACCAATACCATAGATCTTAGTGTAGCAACTTGAATGGCTACGCATTATCTCCAGGTCCCACCTTAATAATGATTGACAGAGCCTAGTAAGGATACCTACAATGTCCCATCTAATGAGGATTAGAACAACCACTCGTTTTTATTCATGGATCGTTTCCCCATATTTGTCTACTTCGTCCATAATAGTCCTTTCCACAATGTGCTTATCACAGTAAACTTAATACCTAATAACAACTATTGGTTCGCCATGCGAAAAACAATCTCCAACCGTGTAGAAAATTCATTGCAATAATGTGGAAGAGGTTTAGTAAACCCTAGATTATTTGACATTTAATGTTATCTGTGCGAATTTTAGAAAACCAGAATATAATTCTATTATTGTATTCGCACAGTCTGAGGCATTTAGGTAACGCATATCTCCATATCATATTAGTTTTTTTATAGGACGCAGTGAGACAGTTATACTTAGTGGATAACACAATTTTGCAAAATAGCCTAGCATATCGAATATCACATGACAATTATGAGGTCAAGTGCACATGTCAAAATAGCTGATCGAGGTTAGTCAGCCTATAGAACACTAATGTAAAAGCAAAACTTTGAGCATTGTGATAGAATATAATTCTATATTGGATTTTTTTCTGATGAAGCTCACAGTGATGCTGTATTATTCACTGGATAACGTTTCGAGCAGAATCTACTACTCATAATCATATGAATATCCTCTAAATGTAAATAATATTGCATCATTTTATGCCATATCAACTAAACAATCTAATAGGTTCTTAGTACAGTAGCTGCAAAGATATAAAATGATAGACTATACTAAGTAAAATAGAGAAAAGGTGATCCATCGCTATGTGTGCACTGGCTCATAGTCAGATTATAGAGTAGGACTACGTGACTATTGACTAGATGAAAAAAGAGATTCGTCATTAAATCTTTATCCATCGAATCAACGCCCAGTATGTGTAACCGGAAGACTTCACCATATCGCATATATTGTTAAAACGTTGATTCCACTAAAAATTAAAAGACTAATGAGATGCTGGACTATAAAAAAAGAAATACGAAAGTTATATGACTACTCTGATATGTTTCTGAGTAATGAATAGTGCTTGAAATATCCTCCACCCAAGAATATTGTATATTATATCAAACAAGCTAATCTAGTCCTAAATGCGCCTCCTAAGACGGTAAACGTTTTTCATTAGACTGGATCGATGGAGAAGGAATGCCGTCGTGAATTCTTTTATAAGATTTTTTTTGCAAATTTTGACTAATCACTTACTGACTATTTGATATTACAATGCATCAGTAAACTCTGCATGAAAAAATACTCATAGATTAATCAAGAAGTTTCACAGCATCTGCAGCTATACTGAAAAACTAAAATGTAAACTGGTGCGAACAGTTAGTGAAAGAGACTATGAACTCCTGGTCAACAACTTCAAAAAGTCGAGATCAGCTAACCAGAAATTCCAAATATATTCAAATAAGTAAGTTCAACAAGCTAATGAAAGAAAAGTACCCATTACGGAATAATGAAATTCCCAACAGCACCTTCCCAGTCATCGATAAAACAAGGTGGGTTTTCAGTATCTCAACTAGGGTTTAATGCTCAACAGAAGTAAAGGTGCTAGAGAAAGGACTTAATTCCAACGTAGCAGTTAATAAGTTGAGACCCTGAAGATATTATTCCTAAAATTGAAATAGCATGAATTTCATTTTAGTCTGTTGAGTATAAATGTCACACAGTGAAACAGTATAGTATGAATGTGGACAATAAATTATGTCCGAAACGTTATCCGGTAAATGATACTGTTTTAGTGTGTGATATTTCTAAAAAAAAAAGACTAAAATGGAATAACAACCTACCACAGTGCCCAATTTTTACTCCTATATATTAGCATTGAGTCCAGTGGATAAGACAGTGGCAGATGATGTGCGAGAACAGTGTGCTGTAACACTTACGCGACAAGACAAAACGGAACAGAATTTACCAAAAACAGAAGGAGAAGCTTTGAAGAACCTTCCGAATGACATCAATATACAGTACAGCGTATAGGTAAACTCTAGATAAACAGAGCCTGATCGTATTGGTCATTAGTATTATCTCTGATTTTTGCATTAGATATTCTTGTCTGAAACTGTCTGAGGGGCGTGTTTCTGTAAAGTTACTGCACCTACTCTCAGAATTTCACTACTATACTTAAGGCAAAGTTATGGATTTAAACCTTCCCCTTGTATTGTTTCCAGTTTCAATTGAAGTGATTTCTCCATTCTTCCATAACTTTTTCATCATAATCGACAAACATGCAGTACGAACTGTGAGCATATGTGCCTACATAACGTCGATCTCCAATTCAAAAACTCACCACATTTTACACGCTACACAGGTTCATTATCTTTTTCAACCACTTAACGACCTAGAATCATTCATCCAAAAGAACTGTAACCCAGTTGCCATGTATAGACTTGTAATTTTCGGTCTCTGGTTTGTCATAATTTTAATGAAGGTTTTAGCGTTAACTTAAGTAAAAACAACTTAGTTTTGTCTTTCATTCATTGGGAAATAGAAATATCATAACAGTGCGCTGAAAAATATTTTCCCAGTCTAGAAATGAGCCTGTCTGTATTTATCCTCATTAATCTAGCCGTAGCAGCGATCCAGATCTTTGTGCAACGCTGTATTTGTTCTTACACTTGTTTAGGTGATAGGAATAAGATCACCGTTTTTATAGACAGGACAAAAATTGCATGCACCAAACTAGATTACATTTTGTGTCATTTTGACGTTATTATGACTGCAAAAGTTTGGATGTACAACATTGTAGTGGTTAGTTATATTCGCTGTATCTGAGGCTATACCTCCTTAATCTAATAATATCCGAGATATCTTATCGTAACCATCTCCATGTAATCAAATTTTTCCCACTGAAATGATTTCAATGTCACTCTACATATTTTTGAGCATAAGCGAAATAGTTATTTTATACACGAAGCTATGATTCAAACATTGATTTTGGTGGTTGTGGCACGTTTTTTATATGCTGCTCAAGCTGCTTTCATGCAGTCCGATGTTTGCCGTTCCTTACTGTTAAATGTAGAGAGATGCTCCTTTTACAGCCTTTCATCGTTGTATAAGTGTCAGGTGTGGATCTGTGGGTGCACCAAAACTCCTTATTTGGCATTCACTTGATCATAGTGTTTCGTACACTGGTTTGTTATAAAATGTGGCTCAAAATTAAGACTGGTAGCGTTTATACTGCAACTTCAGCGAGCATAACTTCGTCTTCTGAAACAAAGACAATCGAATTTCACTTCGGTTTAGTCCTCATTTTCACTCTTGTTGTTACTGTTCCTAGTTGTATATTTTATTTTCCTACTTCTAGTTTTTTCATATAAATGTCTTTTCATTTGGTATGGTGCATTTCTGTTTACTTCATTTGACTAATTTTATTCACGCTTTAATTAACAGTAATAACCACGAAGTCTGGAGTAGGGACGGACGCCCACGTATAATATTGTTGTATACTGATCTCACTTTATCCAGAACTGAATAAGCTTTCAGAAAGTAACCCCCTCCTTATTGAAACCCAGTGGTTAAACTGTAACGTGCTTGTTACAAGACCTAATGGGCGTTGGCTCAGTCTCTGACGAGGGAGTATTTACACACTAATGCTTCGCAAGCTAAGATGAAACAGCTGTTCAGTGTTCTTTGGTTTTCTGTCATTCTTTAAATGACATCAGTAAGTGATGAAGACTACTTTAAAATCAATCTATTCCTACTGAGGCCCAAAATGAATAAAAATTAACCGAACCTGCTAATGTTGACGTTTACCGTCTTATCTGATAACACGTTTTCACATTGCCCGCACTTAGAGAGGACGAATAATCAATTTCCATGTTATTATTTAGACACAGTCATTTCGCCATAAAGGTGTATTTGTTTGGTACTTTTACAATCATTCGTTACCTAATGAAATAAACCTTCATTTAAATACTTCTGATGATGTATTTGTCATTGCTTTTTCCTCGTGAAGGATGTCGTTCAGTGATTTTGTACACTACTTCTCTCGTCTTGAATTGTGTCATCTGGGCCCAGAAGCAATGTCGTTCAATCCTCGCAGTTCCTGTCGTCGTGCAGGTACACACCGTTGGGAAATGACACGTGAAGAAGGTGAATGGTTGCGTAATTCTACTGCTGGAGGGTGTTCGAATTTTCCTAGTAAGCAAAGTTTCTTAGACTTCATTTTACTTTATTACTATTCAATTGATAAAATAAGAAATAGATTAGTTTAAACTCAAAAAAAAGTTATGTAGAGTAACTGACTGTATTCAGTAAGTAGTTTTTCTTGAAATTAAATGAAGGTTCAATTCGTAGCTCCTGAGCTGGGCCTATTCAGTAGCAATATAGGTCACAGGCGAAATGTCTTCTAAAATTAATCCGAGGTTCATATTCTCTCATCGGTTGTTATAACAATTCACAACATTATGAACAGATTTGCCTTATTTATCGCAAATTCAGTATCGTACATCACTATCACATATGCAGTGACTCCATCAAAGACACAGGATACTTTAAAGATATTAATGAACGGATGTATAGATTTGCCTAGATCAGAGATCCTAGATTTCTTTACAAATTAACTATATTTACTGACTTGTGCTTCTCACTATCTGAAACTGACAGTTTTCCCACTTTAAGAACTATCCTTTCTTTATTAGCCCAATCACTTTAGGTACCTTGGTTTTCATCTCATTCATTGTTTGTGTCTTTTTTAAGCCGGGAATTTAAACGGAAGTAATAGGAAGTGTTTTTCTCTTTTATTGTTCCAACAATTGATGTTTCGTCAAAGAATCTGTTTTACCTAACGTTGATTTTTCCTATCTATACAGCGATTGTATAAGACGGATAACGTGTTATCTTAATGTTAACAAACTTGAGACCTTTAAGGAGATACTTTGAACACTATTGGTAGTCTAACTTTGTGTAACAACCTTTTTTACTGTCGATGATACCTCTAACTTTTTTTTCTCGTAGATACGTTCTATATGAATCCACAATTTCATGTTGAAGTTAGGAATCCAGATGAAGCAGATAACGACGGTTGCGGTACGCTGGTGATTGGTTTGATGCAAAAAGGATTACGAGAGAAGCATATTGAACCTCATGTTATCGGTTACTCTGTTTATCGGGTAAGAATTCGTGAATGTATTACTACTGTGGTGAATTATACTGTGGTACTCTTCTTCTTATAATAGCATATACACCGAATTTGTATTGAGTTTCACATGACCTCATGAGGGTGATTTTAAACCCAATTTGTAGCAATTACTCGATAAACCGTCTTACTTTCGAAAGTGTTACAAACGTAACTAAAATGTTGGTGAAGTCGCAAGTGAAAGGTAACTTCTTTCAAAGACTTCTATTTGTTCTAACTAAGAATATTAATTGGTTCAGACTGGTACGTCCAAGTTACGTTTGCTTGATGAACAGGTTAAAAAGTTGGTACATTTTTCGTAGCCACATTTTAATTGTCTTGTTTCCTAAATTGGTAGCTATGGAAGATTGTAAGACAATGTAGACTTTCATTTAAATGTTATATAGAATCTTATGATTACGTGTTTTGTAGTGTTGAACTGTATTCAATCGATAAACTTATTCAGCCAGTAAACTCAATGTTCCTCTTGACCCCAAGAACCTACGCGTTTCCAGTCAAGGCCATTCAATATGTTTGACTAGGGGTTTGCACGGTTTACAGTTGTGGTTTACGCCTGTCACATGTTGGTTGTCAAAATCATGTGGATAAGGCTAACAATAGAGTGTTCATCAGTTATACATTCTTAAGTTATATACAACCTAGGGGAGTCGATTAATTCCCGATTAGTTTCCATCATAGTTTAATCCCAGGTGAAGAGTCATTCAAGTGCTATGAAGAAATAGACGACTGTCACATCCCTATTATCACTTTTGAGTTGTGTATTGTTGACCTCGTACATAGTCGAGTTCATCACCTTATATCTCACTGAATACGTTGCAACTCAGTTACTAGTTTGGAATTAAATGGTTCGTACCATTTTAACTTCATTCAATTTACAGTTCAACATAACCAGTATCTAACGTTTTCTGTAAGCACGTACCTCCAATCTGAGCTAAAATGATGCTAAAGATTACGATTTCCCATCCTGCTACAAGAACTCTGTCTCTGAATAACTCACATATGAGCACCTAATTCTTGTTCATGTGAGTGGATTTCGCAAGACTCATATTCTTTAAAAATATTGACTACTATCATACCTCTTAGTGGTTTGAATGAGAATATGTTTTTCTCATGAGATCTGAACGTCTGGTCAGCACAACGCAGATGCCTTTCAAATTGTAATGAAATTCTCGTGTGATGCCCCATAGTTCCCCAGTTAAAATCAGAATCAGATGAGACTCACGTTTACAACTGAACATTATTTGCTGCTTTCTAATTTTCGTACTTAGTCAAAATGTTACTGACATGAAATACAAGTGTAATGCTAACATCTACGAGTTTCATACACTATATTATATTCACTTCGTTACGTTTAAATCCACTCAGCAACCATATGCCCATTCGTGCATCAGGCAATGAGCTATGCCCATTGTATGAGCGCTAATGATACTACTTTGCTGCTCAAACATAGGTGGAGCAGTGTTCGAACGCATCACCCCACTGGTTGAAAGTCAACTCCCTTGACCAATAAGCCACAGCCCCATTGAGTTTTCCATGAACATTTTGAAATTTTGTTCATGTTTAAATTGCTTAGCACAAACGTTTCAATCTGAAGCAAAGAAAATTCCTAGTCTAAATTCGATGGTAACAATGTTGGAGATCAGTTTTGGACAAAGTATAACAATCAATTTAATGGTATAGTTTGAGTTAACAAAATTCGTATAACCTAGAAAGTTGTTGAAAAGTATCATTTTCAACATGAATGTAAATAAAACTTCACTCATTTTCACTGCAATATTGTCCTAAATATATATGTTTTTTAAGTCTGGAATTATGTGCAACTTGTCCGGGTGCTTAACTTAAAGGCAAAAAACTCGAATGATGTAGCTTATGCAGACAGTTAATTTGTCCCCATAGTGGTACAATGATCGAACTATAAATGAAAACCTGATTTGTGACAATTCGGCCAACAGTCTACGGATTACTTACTCAGCACTCTATAGATCAAGCCACCAGATGCATCTGTTCGCCATTCAGAACATTTTGTCAGCCAAGACTATTTCAGATGGTCTAAACAATAATTAGTTGTAAGTGTGCGCATAGCTTTTAAAATAAGATTATTTTTTGTCATTGTGTAACATACAAGAATGGCTGATAGGATTATTATGACTTACTTGTCAGTGTCAAATATGTGTGAATAACTTATGGAAACTGTGTTAGACCTGTGGACTTGGTTAACAAATTCGACGCGGAATGCTTTTTTGTAACCAAACAAATTCCAGTGAAATTTTCGGAAGTAGTCGGCTTTTAACACATGTATGGCCAGATTATGGCAAAATGCTTCATTATAGTTATGTTCCGTACGACAAGTGACAGCTTGTACCTTAATGTGCTGACTGTATTGTCATACTTCAATAGCGTAACTATATATACCGATGAGAACGTGTATTGTTTGAGTTCTTACTATGCCATAAAGATTCACTGTGGTGTCCACTCTGTCCAGATTCTTCAGATAAACTCAATGACTCCAAAATGCTTCCTAGCCAATCAACATGCTTTGGAGTTTCAAAGAAGATACATGATCATACATGTAATTATCGGATTGATTGAACGTGCGAAATCAATGGAGAATGCCATTTTAGAAGGGTCTGAAAATACCCAATTCCATTGTAAATATGCATAAACCGTAGCATTTTTCACATATTTTGATGGTACAATACACCTGTTATCTTACCACCTTTTCCACTTTCCGAGGAATCAAGCGGTCGTAAAACATGAAATCTGAAGGTTATTATCCAAATATCTACACCTATATAGTGAGGTTATGTCAGCCTAGTAGCGATAAGTTTGAAAGCAGCTGCCATCAGTTCTACTAATTCACACTTTGGAGGGAGTGACTGAAATCAAAGTTCATGCAACTGGCTACACAGGATTATGATGGTATTGAAGTGTTTTGAGAAACTAGCACCTCATCTGCACAGTCAGTTTGAGGTGCCAGAAAAAGGTTGGTCCTAATAACTGATTATTTTACCTTAACTTACGGCTTTCTATTTTATGTAGTATGGGACGGAAGCAACTGTATAAAAATCCTTTTTTCTTAAAACATATGTGTATAGCTGGCTTGAAGAAGACATCGTCTAAGGTTTGCTATCACGCACAAACAACTCACTTCTTGCTTCATGTGCATCAAGAATATGTCAACTTCCAAGGTGTAGGCAGCAGAGAAGTGTGAGCTGCTTGAATTCTTGTGAAGACAAATAAATTTTTCAATGTTTTTAAAAACTGGTTTTGTGCTTGACTTTATTTTTCAGCGAATCCTTAAAAACACTTGTCGGATGAGTAGGTGTTAAAAACATTCGCATCTGTAAATGTTTAACATACAGTGAAGAAGATTAATGTCACAAAATGAAATCTGTTGGAAAATCTCTTAAAATTTATGGGTATTCTTCCAAAGAGACTGGTTATTCAATAGTTTTTTGTCCCTGTTCATGAACCCTAATTGTATACCCCATATTATCGAACGATTGGTCGAATGTGAAAACAAGCATGAACTGTAACCAATCCGTTAACGTCAGAAACTAATGTCAGTTTGCGAATAAAACTGCTTTCAAGTTAATTACTAGGCTAATAATTTTATCTACTGTCGTACCTTCTTTCTTGTTTACCATTTACCTTAGATGTCACCAGCAACCTCGAATAATCAATTGCTGGATAGACGATTTTTCATGATGAATTCATCAGTGGCTCGGTCACCTATATTTATTAATATGCGAGAGGTTTGTGGTAGACATAAATTGAAACCTGGTCATTACGTTGTTCTGCCTTGTACATTCAATCCCAATGAAGAAGCGAAATTCATGCTGCGTATATTCTCTGAGCGTGCTTGTGATTCAAAGTAAGCTTAATTTCAAATTTTTTGAAATTTATTTAGTTTATATTGCATCAAGTTAATGACGAAAGCAATATACTTTCAGATATCTCAGTAAAATGTGGCGGATATTAAAAAGTACTGGGTTGTAAAAATTTCTATAGATTTAAGCTGAAATATAAATCACATACAAGAGGAAAATTTTGTTCTTTGAACGGATATCAAATTCAGAAGTCACTGAAGCTATCCCAGCTAATATTATACGTGTATTTTCAAATAGAGAATACTATACCTTGTTGCACATACGTAAGCCAACAACTTATCAGCCGCACTTTAAATGATATAATTTACTCCTTATAGTAAGTTATCATCTTATGTTTTAAACAAGAATCTGGATAGAATTATTTTGACGTACTCACGCAAGAATCACATCTTTTGTTCACAAAAAGCTGTTGCACGTTGGTCTGGGTTACTGATTACCAGACGTCTGTCCATGAGTTCGAACCCCACTCCCATTTAAGCAAGTAGGTAGTTAGCGCTGATGTGTACTAACATGGGTAAGACTAGGTTATTGAGCTTTTTGTCGACTGTCTCCAACAACTTAGCGTTCATCAAAAATGCACAGAGACCATTTTTCAAGGTGATTGATAGAATACAATCAGGACTTAGAACTAGATAACAGGAAATTAATTACTCTTCGGGAAATAGCGAATTTCAGTCATAATTTGAAATGTACAACTTTCATTTTAAATGATTGTCCACTTTCCAACATTTTATTATTTTCAACTTTTCAGCGAATTGGATGACGTCACACAAATTACTGCTGATTCAGGTCATGTAAGCGTAACCAAACACATTATGTTAATGCTCTCTTTTTACTAGAGTTTGTTTGTCATTTACATACTTGTTCCGTCCTATTTTTATTCTACAATTTAAAACCCGGGGATAATGATAGCAATAAGTACAACTAACACTAATTACTGTTACTAATTTAACCCTCTGGAAGGTGGATTCAGTGATCCAATGACTTTAACTGAACGCAATTTAAACAATCTTACCTATAGTACTGATAATAATTACAAATCATCCTTGATGGTAGTTTACCTTGGAATCTGATATCATTCATAGAACGTTTGAGAATCGACAGAAATTGACGATACGGAACCCGGCGTTACCGTTTAACAGTTCAAGTTGTTGCGTCGCTGCATTCATGCAAAACTAATTAAGGAGAAGGCACAAATGAAAATAAGGTATTTAACAGGTGAAGAAAGCCATTAGGTGAGAAATTGGGAAGGTTATGTATCGAAAGAAGTGTGACAGTATGATAACGATAGAGATAGCTTATGAATGCATTTACACTAGTGCAATCGATTCTCATCCATATCACCTAGATAGCCCAACTCGAAACAACTCAACATTAAGGAACTTTAAAACTAATAGATATATCTTGATAGTACTTTATGAGGAGTTGATCGAAGTTCGAAAATGCGGACTATTGGATTCCGATGCATTAACTCAGAAGCATAGTATTTATCTGTGTTGCCTATAAGTCACGAATTTGGTCTAGTTTTTACCAACTGCTAGGGAGTCGTAAATCAAAACGGAACAGCTATCCAGTACGCAGTAGCTCCTTAATTGATACCGTTTAATATTGCGAATCAATCTCGTCTAAACCACTTAACTGAAAATGTGTTTGAGCCATCCATAATAAAATTTGTAGTATGAACACGATGTGTAAAAAATGTGTAAAATATGTCATCTCTAGTTTCGGGTAATAATATTAAGTGAGCGACTACTTTTTAAAAATATTCTGCCTTTGTTTTGACCAGTTGAAAAAATAGTTACATTTTTATGATATACGACCTAAATCTATACTAATAAGAAAGCATTGATTATTGTGCAAATTTTATCAGTCGTTTCGCTCATAGGAACCTCAGCTCATAAGTTATCACCTAAATTATTTGATTGAGAAGACTCAACTACGTGCGGTGAAGTAGTAGTGCATGAAACCGGTTAAACACGTTCCGTTGATATTTCAAATAGCTGAATTATGTTTTACAATCATCCAGCTGTACATCCACCGAGATAACCTTTGAAGAATCAACCCTTTTTAATATCGTTCTTCAATGTTAACTCTGGTAATTTGTGAATGATTTACCAACCATTAAGCCAGTCACACAACCTCGCCTGGTTAACTAGTTTACTAGTTACTAGCCGGTCCTAAGCCCGGGTAAAGAGGGAAGGTTGGGCATAGGGCTAGCAACCCTACCCCGTAAAACAAATCTGACCGCTAAAGAAACTTCAAAGCACAAACAAAATATAAAAAATGAAAACAAACTTATTCCTCGCTGGAATCGGAGAGGCGAAATGACGCCAGTTGGTGAAAGCCTTCGGGAAGCCAATTGGCCGATGTGTCTTCTCTCCCTCGATGAAAGCGAAAGTAAACGTGGGGACATGGAATGTCCGCACGATGTTTGAACCCAGTAAGGCAGCCCAGATTGCAAAAGAGATGAGAAGGTATCACATCGAAGTGCTTGGGATTTGCGAAAGCAGATGGAATGGGAGTGGAGTCTCCAAACTGTCAACTGGAGAATCAATAATCTACTCCGATATTGTCACCCAGACGACAACCACGAGCACACTGAGTTATGGAGTGGCTATCATGATGTCCTCAAGAGCATCGAAAGCTCTCATGCAGTGGGAACCAATCTCTTCCAGGATCATGACAGCAAGATTCAACTCAAAAGGAAGGAAGGTCACAATCATACAATGTTATGCACCTACAAATAATGCAGAGCAAGAGAAAAAGGAGGAATTCTACAGACAACTTCAATCAACACTGGACAAGACGTCAGTTGGCGATATCAAAATTCTAATTGGTGGGGTGACATGAATGCCAAACTGGGAGCAGACAACACAGGAAGAGAACTAATCATGGGTCGAGAAGCGCTCGGTGAGGTGATGAACGAGAATGGAGAATTGTTTGCAGAATTCTGCGCATTCAACGATTTGGTGATTGGAGACACTGTGTTCAGGCACAAGGATATCCACAAAGCCACATGGATTTCACCATTCACCAGATGGACACACTAAAAATCAGATCGACTTTATCTCAATCTCAAGAAAATGGAGACGCAGTCAGTCTACTTGACACAAGGTCAAGAAGAGGAGCAGATGTAGGTTCAGACCACTATCTAGTGCAAGGAACCCACCTTCCAAATCAAGTTGAAAGCCTTCAGGGAAGCTGGTGATAGACCTCAATTCAAGTACAACACTCGGAAACTGAAGGATGAAACTACAAAGGAGATCTTCACGTCAGTCAGCCATCAAGACAAAATGGGAGATATCGAGGAACATGCCTGAAGAAACCTGTGTGGAAGAACACTGGAAGTCTTTGAAAGCTATGTGGAAAGAAATCTGCACAACAGTATAAGGAAGGAAGAAGAAAGAAGACAAGGAATGGATCTCGACGGATACCTGGAAGCTGGTAGAGCAGGGAGAGGAGGATGGTGAAGCAGAAGATAAACCAGTGCAAGGATGCTCAACGACAAGAGGAACTGAGCACAATGTATAAAACACTGAACAAAGAAGTGAAGAAGAGTGCACGCAAAGACAAAAGACACTTCTACGAAACACTGGCAAGTGAAGCAGAACAGGCTGCAGGTAAGAGAGACCTGACAACATTGTATCAAATAACCAGGTTGCTATCAGGGAAGAGATCAACACGGATGAAACCAATAAAAGATGAAGAAGGAAATTTAATTACGAAAGAAGAGAAACAGAGGAAACAATGGGCCGACCACTTCAAGAAGCTCTTGAATCGACCACCACCTGCACTTCGTCCAGAAATACCACCTGCAGCCGTTGAATTACAAGTGAACATTAATCCTCCAACAAAAATGGAAGTCCTGAGCTCCATAAAGCTACTGAAATGTGGGAAAGCAGCAGGACCAGATGGGATACCGCCAGAAGCACTGAGAACAGACGCAGAGACAACAGCGGACATGCTCACACCACTATTGCAGAAGGTGTGGAAGGAAGAGAAGGTACCTGGCCATTGATTGGAAGAAGGGTTACCTTGTCAAACTGCCGAAGAAGGGAGACCTCAGTGCTTGCAAGAACTGGCGCGGAATCACTCTCCTGTCCACCCCAAGTAAAATATTAAGCCGCATCATCTTGGAGAGGCTTAAAGATGCACTGGATTCAAAACTGCGACCGGAACAGGCAGGCTTCAGGAAGTACAAATCATGTGCAGACCAAATTGCAACGCTTCGTATCATCATAGAACAGAGCATAGAATGGCAATCAGCTCTCTGCCTCAACTTCATCGACTTTGAGAAGGCCTTTGACAACGTCGACCGAGAGGTAATTTGGAAACTGCCTTATTACTACGGAGTACCGCAGACCTTTATCCGCCTCATTCAACAACTATATGAAGATGCCACATGCCAGCCAAGTAATTCACAATGGGAAGCTCAGTGATGCCTTTGAAGTGAAGACAGGAGTGAAACAAGGTTGCCTACTATCCCCCATGATATTCCTTATTGTGGTGGACTGGATCATGCAACAAACAGTGGGCAGCGAGAAGAGGGGGATACACTGGACTGTGGAAAAGAACCTAGAAGACTTGGATTTCGCCGATGACTTGTGCCTAATGTCACACAAACTTGAAGATCTGCAGGCAAAAACTAACAAGTTGACAGAAGAGGCAGCTAAGACGGGACTTCAGGTGAATATAGAGAAGACAGAAGTGATGAAGATACCGCACCACCACCATCAACAACAACAAACTCCAATCACCGTCAACGGGAGAAACTTAAAGGAAGTAACCTCCTTCACTTATCTAGAAAGCACTGTTTCGAATACAGGCGGGACGGACGAGGACGTCAAAGTCAGAATCGGAAAAGCAAGACAGGCGTTCATTAGCCTGAAACCAGTGTGGAGATCTTATGCACTCAGCATGCGGAACAAGATACGGATTTTCAACACCAACGTCAAGTCAGTGCTCCTGTATGGTTCAGAGACTTGGCGCGTCACGAAAGGCATTTCCAATAAACTACAGACATTCATCAACAACTGCTTACGCTCGCTGCTGAAGATCAGATGGCCAGAAAGAATAAGCAACAAGGAACTCTGGGAACGAACCAACCAAGAACCTATTACCCAACAAATATGCAGGAGGAAGTGGAGATGGATTGGGCATGCACTGAGAAGGCCGACTGAGGACATCACGCGTCATGCCAGTTGCTCGAGTGGGATCCCCATGGGAAGTGACGAGTTGGACGTCCAAGGGTGACATGGAGGAGGTCGTGTGAGGAGAAAATGAGAGCTTCTGGGCTGTCGTGGGACCAGGTTCAAAAGATCTCAGAGAACAGAGTTCACTGGAGACGTGCTACTGAAGCCCTATGTTCCACTAGGAACCCAAGGGACTAATAATAATAATAAGCTAGTCACACGATGTATTCACGACTTTTAATGATTGCTCGGGAATTCATTTGTTTTAAATCGATATTGAGTACTTGTTCAAAGAAATATTCAGTTACATATGCTTTCATGATGCGCTGAGTCATACAAATCTCATGTCAAAATCGAACTGATTGTTTCCTTTTAGTATTTTGGATTCTTTATTTAGATGTCTCTATGGTACTATGAATAACGCTCTAACATTATTTATCCGGTGATGGTAAGAATCGAAATCCACTCATCAACCTTGCTCACATACGTTCAGTAGGCGGTGATCTACACTTAATGTGTGAGGTCTAATGATACTATCTGGCTGCCCAAACATAGGTAGATGGAGCACTGCTCGAACTCGTGACCCACTGGTTGGAAGTCAACCCCGTAAACAAATGAGCCACAACTATACTATGGTTAGAAATGGGATTTAGGATGTTTGTCGTCTCTTACTTAAGACTTGTCAACTGAGTGCACCTACATCACACAGAGCGCTAGCGTCCCACTTGAGACTCGAAATCAGTGTTCGTTACATAGAACGCAGCAGTGTTATCATTTGGGCTACTGATTTATAACACTTACCACTTGTGCAACGAATATTGGCTTCTGCGATTAGACTTTACAAATCTCCATTGTTCAATGATCATGGAGGTGCAGATACATTCAACCGAAGAGTTTTGAGTAGGATAGTGTGTTGACCATGGATTCTACTTCAAGTCGCTACAAGATAAAATCTGATAATTTACTGAAAAAATGAAACTACATCGCACTGAAGGCAAGGACCACTCTGTTGTACTGAGCAGAATATATATCGTTCTACAATAAATATTAGTTGCTTAAATCTTAATGAATGCGTTAAACCTGAGAATTGTTAGTTTATTTTGTTTTCAATCAGTCACAATGATTCGTTTTAAAGGGAAACCATATTTTCTCTAACTAAGAATTTACTTTATACTTTACTTTATACAACTTTAAACATTCATTAATCCTATTCTTTTTATGCCTGCCTTTTTTCAAATGACTATATGGCTGAATACTGTTGAATTTTAATGTGCCCATATGGTTAATTTGTCGTCCTTTTCTATAGACTATTGTACTACCTATATTTTTATATGGAAAGGTGTACAATTCTTATCAGGTAGGATTATGAACACTCACATTCAATGTTGTTGTCGTCTAAACTATAACCGAAATTGTCACATAATTCTAACTTCCGACTCAAGAATGAAGTGAAATCACCGATTGAAATACACGAGAGGGTTGTATAACGTAATAAATGATTCGTTTTCAGAATTAGTCAGTGGCAAATCCTCCACTCAAACCTTCCCCCTGTGGCCTATCTGTTTGTTGGCACTTGTTAGTAAGGTGTATGTACTCAAATTCTCTAGAAATCTCATTATACGCATGAAGTGTGGTTCATTGAACTCTCTAGCAGTGAATCCCACGTTCATTTCTCACGTCACCCATTCTGGCCTTGGCATCTGATTAGTATCAAATGCCACTCTTTATAAGCGTATTGTAAGCCAATATCAGCGTGGTCTTGACAATACTTTGAAACCGTCTAGATTGCTACACTTCACATTAGCATATCAAGGTATAAGACACCAAAATGAAAGACAAAGATATAGGGAGGAAAACTCTAGTCAAAAAACAGCCGGTCATACGTAAACGAGGTAAAGAAAATGACAAAATACGGTAAGACAATTAAAATGGAAACATTGTGTGGATATATATCTGAACCACTGAAATTAATTCTGAGTCATATCACCTAAAGTTTTCAACCACTAATATCGGTTTTCATATCGACATTAACGGAGAGGCCTGTATTTCCCCGCATGGCTCAGACCAACTGACACAATGTTTTAGTCTATCCGCCTTTGACCTTTCCCCAACCCAAACCTACTTTGACTGACATTACGCACCGTAGAAGTATCGTATAGTTTTGTAAATAAACCCGTAACGGGTCTAGCTGAATTGTAAGTCTACTCAAGATTTAAATAAATGCATTAACAAGTGGCTGAACTGTAGTTGGGAAAACGTGGTTTTATGAGCGTTCAAGCCTACATCTAAAAAATTTGGGTGACACATTCACTTTGTTGAAATCGGAACATATCGATAATGTCTTCACACATATCAACTCACTAGTAGGTGCAATCCAATTCACTTACGGGGTAGAAAATGAGCAGCGAGAATTAGCTATGTTGGGCCGCATAGTTAAACAAAGAATGTACGGTGGTTTAGGTACTTCCGCCTACAAGAAATTGACACGTTCTAGCAGGTATCTAGACTTCACGTTATCTCATTCAACATTAGTTAAGGCAGGTTTAGTCAAATGTTTAAACAATAGAGCTAGAAAACCTACTAGTCAGTGCTAGGACTTAAAACATAAAAGAAACGTTATTAATTAATATTTATCCTCTAAAAGTTGTAAAGAAATTTGTGCGGACACATGAGTAGCGAAACAATACCAGTAATATGAACATGGATCATAACAACAACACGAGTTCAAAACCTCTATTGTATTACCAAATAAGGAAGGAACACCGAAGACTTCACTGGAATTCTCAACAAGACTGGAATTAGATTGTCATTTAAACCCACAAACTCACTGAGAGATAAGCTTTATCGGTTTAAGTATCCGATAGATTCAATTAAACAAAGTAATCTAATCTATCAAACTTCATGCAATGACTGCGACGTGAAGTAAGTCAGACTATTCTATCAGTATTAGTTTGATTATCGGTATATGGGAATTTAGCTAAATACAGAATGACCAGACCCCAATAGGATCAATAATCTGGGAAAAATCTCGGTTATTGTTATGCATGCATTAACACACAACCACATAGTAGGGTGGAGTAAAACCATTCTACTTCAATCCAAAATAGTTAGGTGAAGAGAGAGATTGATTACTAAAGTTTTATTCATCAAATCTGCATCCAACACGTAATAGGAATGACACAACACCTGTACCAGAGATATTGGAATTATAACTACTACTAAAAATGGATATGAATTAAGAGGACTATAAAAACGAGATGTCAGAAGCTGTGTAATTACTTTGATATGATTATGAGCATTAATTTACGCTCGAAATGTCATCAAGTAAATAATACTACATCACTGTATGTTATAAATCAAATAAACAAATGTAATATGGAATTAGATTCTACCACAGCGCGTAAGTTTCGCACTTACATTATCGCTACCTAGTTTGTACTAATGAGTTCCATTCGTATTACAGCTACTTTATCAAATTTTACTAATTACAGGAAGAGGTATAATAATCGTAAACCACGTTGTTCATGTTTCCACTTTTATATGATCAAGCGACAGTTACCTGTATGGTCACTTCTACTTGTCTGTAAGCTAGTTTTCTTACGAGAAGTAAGAGGAAGCTAATCCATAAAAACTTGACTGCATAAATTTAGAAAGTCTTGTTCGAATTTGTTACGAAAGTAAATCGGATATAGGTTTCAATGTAGCCTAAACATTGACTATTATTCCCCTTGTATTACTAGAAATTCAAGACTATATCTAAAGCTGAACTTTAGTAACTGCTATAAATATGCACTCCTTATATGCCATTTCAGTATAACAATAAATTGTCATATTATTACTGCCTAATTGTAAAGCTAATGATGAAGTTTTAAATTTTCTATTTTGCTTTAAATATGTTTATTTGTCTGTTTATTCAGCCGACTCAACCACTCAGAACAGCTGATGAAAATTTGATAGCGAAATTGGAAGTTGTCTTTAATAGAATTGCTGGTGCAAGTGGAGCAATCACATATACCCAATTACAAGATATATTGAATGAAGCATTTACAAAAGGTGACCAACTATGTTATATATATATGGCGATGTTATAATCCTGTCCTCTGCTGAATTATTAGTCATAATTTTTAAATGGTAGCAAACTACTCATTTTGCACAGAATTAAGTGGAGCTATACCTTAGTTATCAATGTTTAGTAAAGTTCACTAGTTCGGTTAGACTTACATCTGCTTAATTTCTAATAACCTCACTTTCTAGATACCTCTCTCTCCCTCTGTGTGTGTGTGTGTGTGTGTGTGTGTGTGTGTGTGTGTGTGTGTGTGTGTGTGTGTGATAAATCAATGAGTGGAAGCGATAAGTTTAAGTTACTGGTATATGGATTATATCTTCACATACAGCTCATTAGCCTAAGCATTGAAATCGAATGGCTTTAACTGACTGAAATGACTAATCAAGTTTCTTTATTTCGACCAGAGTGATAGATTTCTCACCATCAACATAGGACCAGACATCATTGCATAGCGGTCCAAGTGGCCACATGTCATATCAGCACATGAAGTAACAAAGCAATAAGATGAATGAAGGATGAAGAAATAAAGGAGAACCTGTCAAAAACAATAAAAGAGACCAAGGGGGAATAATAAAATGCTGAATTTAGTATAGTGGTTAAGATAAACATAATGTGTGAATACATCTGCGGCACTGATTGCGATTTTAAGCTAGAATCCCCAACCACTGGTTTCTCTTATCATACGAACCACAACCGGGAAGTCTACATTTCCCTACACGGCTCAGACAAACAGTTAAAAACTTCATCTGGTGGTGTCATGTTTTAATCTAGTCACCTCTAACCTTTTTCCAGCCTGAACCCGCTTCAGCTAACATGGAGCAACGAGGCAGACAGTGACTAGGCATGCGTAACACATGTCCCAGCCACCTAAACCAACGGATGTTTACAAATTCATCAAATAACTTCTCTCTTCTCCCTAGAACTCTACTCCTAACTTTTACATTACTGACGTGGTGACACCACGATACATGGCCTATGCTACGAAGGCAACGGTAGGCAAATAAATACCGGAAGCCTTCTCATATCCTCTACCTTGAATGGCTATGTTTCACAGCCATACAGTAGGACAGAACAAACTGCAGTCCAGTCCTCTCAAATTTTAATGGATACGATTGGATGTCACACCGGCCCTATAAAAGGTGCGAATTGAGGAAAAAACTGATCGAGTCTTTTGTATCTGTGCGGAGATTTTGTCGGTCGCTGACCCACTGCGTGCTGATCCAGTTTCGCAAGTAAGCGAAGTAATTAACGCGCTCAGCCATTTCACCCCTTATTGTTGGACAAGTGAAAATCGGTTCTGGCTCAACAATTTGCATTTCAGTGGCGAAGGAACACAACCCAAGCATTCTCACACTGTCACTCAAGCTATCTAGTAGACTGCATCTTGTCGGCGTCTTTATCTAACAGCAGTATTTCATCTATATATTTTAGATCTACCAAGGATTCTCCTGTGATTAGATCAACCCTTGTGTAGTCAGACAACGAAAGAAAGATCTCAATAAGAACATCTATGATGAACTGAATATGAATGGATAGAGTGGGCATCCTTAACGGGCGCTACTCGATGTATACAGCTCACCTGACAACTCACCATACATTCTAGCACGCCCACGTGTTTTCGAGTAAAGAGACTTCAACCAACAGAGTAATGTATTTACTCGGTACCTCTTTTAGTGAGAGACACTGCTATTAGACCTCTCGATCGATGGAGTCAAATGCCGCCTTCATATCATAAAATGCAGAATTCTAAATAGTTGTTCCAGCAGTAGCAAGAGTTCCTTCTAGCATCATTCGTGTAGTCATTGAATGTCATACAATGTGTTTCTTTGTTGGTTATCATCCACAAATAATCAAAATTATAAGCATAAATTCCATATGGAGTAAAATAATATACTTTTAAGTTGGACCAAAAAACATATACATTGCGAAGTTAGGAGGAAACAGCCAGAAACGAATGAATGTATTAAAGTTTTCTTTATCGATATAATTAACTGAATGAAAGACTGTATTAGGACACACAACTGAAGTTGTGAACTACTTATAGTTTTTAAGCACCAAACTCTTCTAGGTGTGCTCTAAGAAGCGTGTAGGCTTCTGGATTACCTGCGTGTTCGACCACTAATCACTAGATTACAGTTTCAGATTCCTCCACTCACTTCAGGCTAAGATGTTAGTTGCTGTTGTAGACTGTCAGAAACCTGTATTGTATCCAAGTACTTAATGTGACAAGTGCATTTGGGTTCATAAAGCAATTGGACGAAATAAATGGATGCTCGTTTATCTTCATGGGGAACATAACTAAGTCAACATATGACAAAATCATTTTCTGTACGGGATGAATTCTAACGACAGCAACTCTTGACCTTTTGTTTGTCGCTTCTGATACCCTATCTAGTTCAACTTTGATTACATGCTTTGTTTATGCCCATAGTCTAAGGATGCTTTGATAAAAATCTTTCGATAGCCATTGCTGGAAAACGCTTTTACAAGATAGCAAACCCGTTGTCTATTGTATCTCCTATATTAATTGAAAGGCAAACAGATGGTATCAACGTTGGACCTGTCTTTACTGCCTAAGTCTTCGACCTATCACACCTTACATCACTACATCAAGTCCATGCATATTCAGAGAGAAAACAAAAAGACGAAAGTAAAATCGATCAATTGTAGAATGTTATCGGACGAAATTTCAGGATTTGAAGTATGACATTTTGGTGACGTTAAAGGATGTATCGACGCTAGCGTGATCGACTTTCAACCATGCCGACTGGAATTTACAGTTACTTATTTCGGTTGTTTTTCAGCCTGCAACCTGGAAGCAGTAGCAGTAATACGGGTGTTATTGATAATAATTCTGCTATTAATGATAATAATGGTGGCAGGTTTGAGAGAGAATTCAAAGCCTTTGCTGTTACCGTACAAGGAGGGCACCTCAGAAGTATTACCAAGAATTCTCAACAAGGCTGGTATTACATTGCCATTTAAACCAAGAAACTCGCTTAGAAACAAGCTTTATAGATTAAAAGATCCTTTTGTTGCTATTAAGCAAAATAATATGGTTTACGGAATCCCTTGCAGTGATTGCGAGGTCAAAGCAAGTCAACCAGGATCGATTAGAATAACAGAGCACAAAAACTTAAATCAAGATAAGAAGATCCTAATAAGAGATTTCGAAAAAAGTTCAGCTATAGCTCTTCATGCTATCACACAGTAGGGTGGGATAAAGCAACAGTACTAAACACTAACTTAGTCGGGTGGAGGGAGAGGTTAATAACCGAATCTTAGTTTATCGAATCAATACCGCATACATGCAATGGAAATTATTTTGCACCTGTCCCGGATATATGGATAATTGTACTACCTTTGTCACAAAGAAGAAGAGAAAATTAGGACTGCATAAACTGTCTCGAAGTTGTGGAGTTACTTTATATAAATATGGATAATAAATTGCGTCCGAAACGTTATCCAGTAAATGATACTGTTTCACTGCGTGACATTCTTCATAAACAGACTAAATTGGAATTAGAATCTATCACAGTGCCCAAGTTTTACTCCTATAATAACATAACAGCTTTCCCTTTAATATCGTGCATATGATTGTCATTACTCACCATTCTCTTGGTCTTGAGGCGCTTAGTTGTTCAGTACACATTGCACACGGCTATTCTCTGAACAAACAACTAGTATACTCTGGTGGTTAGTCTTAGAATAATTCTCATTCAAAGACTTATTATCGCTTGTAATTTTCTAAGAAAAATTCAGATAGCGAAAGCATCTTGTGGCTGAATACAGCTATTGTATGGATTCCCCTAAGAAAAAGCCCATATTAACTTCCTTGACGTTTCACTGTAACCGTTTATCTCTTTTTTAATGTTCTACAACTTAAATGGTCACATACTATTTCTGTAACTTAATCAATATGTGCTAGTATATGTGTCAACTTGTTGACCTCTTGTGTATAAATTGATATTTTCTCATCATTTTAACTCCATTCATAAAACTTGTTTAACATTGAGTACTATGAGTGCCTGATTTTTTTAAACCAACATAAATCAATAGTGTTAACACTGATAGTTCATTTCTATTTGAATATTATTTGCAATAAGCAATAACACGCTGAATATTCTCAATAATAACTTAAGCCTATATGTATCTGGAGGCGTAAGGATATCAATAACAACGGGAAATTACGTGTCAGCAAATAATAACTGATACCCGTTGCACAAGAGGTGGCTCTCGTGTCTCAGTCAGTGGCCTAGTGGAAAATGTTCTGACATTTGAAGCGATGGGTGCTGGATTTGAGTCTCAGTTAGAACAACACCACTCACTGGGTTGCAGGTGCATCCAGCTGACTAATTCCGAATGAGACGAAACATGCATCCTGGATTCCACTGTTAGCCACCACCGAGCATATTACAACATAATCAATAATCAGGCAATATCGAGCCATCTTCATAGGTGCCATATGCCGACCGAGGTCGACCAATTCGATCCAGAATTTTTAAAATTGCCCACATATGTAAATAAGTGAAATGTGATGAAGTCACACAAGCTAAAATTAACGCACCATAGTTAAAGAATGTGTAAAGGTGAAATCCGGTTTTATTCAATGAAACAGTGTTCTAAAAAGAAGTGATAAAATCAAACAGAAGTTATGCTCACTTGTTACAGAAAAATGTAAAATGTGTAAGAGATGGATAACAACAAAGTGCAGCCAAGCATAACTATGTATGTTAAACAGAAATGCGTACTATCAAGTTTCCACACTTCACAGTAGCATGCGAAGAACAAGTGGATGGCAAAAGACTGATATCAGAGGAAACAAAGGTATATTGCAAGAGAAGGAATTTAAAAATCAAGGCTAATGCGTTCATTCAGGCTACCGAAAGCACCAAAGAGTGAATACACTTGCGCCATTGTGACCGTTTCTCAGCCATCTAACCGAGAATCTCCAACCAATGATTCATATGGTCTTGGGGACCCTAGTCAGGTAGTCTACACCTTCCTACACGACCCAGACCAACACTCAGAGACTTCATGCACTGATGCCATGTCTTGGTCCGGTTACCCTAAACCTTCTCACAAATTAATCTAACTTGTACTAACATTGCACGTTGAGGTGGGTGGTAGCTTGGTATGCGCTACACATATCCAAGTCACTTCACTCGGTGAATGTTGACAACCTCATCAAACGACTTGCCTAGTAACCTTCACCTAACTACAACAGTGCTCAGGTGATGTTTCCATCATACGCAAGCAGTGCTACGAAGACATTTGTATTCGAAAGCCTGTAGGCTCTTCGTATCTTCTACTTTCAGTGCCCACGCTTCCTAGGTGAAAAACAGGACAGAGCGGACTTCAGCCCACATTGCTGTACATAGATTCAAGTTACCACACCGCATAAGTACACCGCGAATAAGTCGACGAGATGAATATAAAGAATAAAATTAATGATGTCACCAATGGTAATTAAAAATACCAGTGAAATAAAGGTAATAAGGGAAAAATGATGCGATAATATTTTCAACATCTTGATGAGGACAAATAATCGGTTCATTCTTACAGTTACCACCAACTCTTATTCATGTTACATAAAGTCTCCAGCCATCTGTTTTTGATGTGGACTTCTGTCTGGAAGACTACACTCATTCAAGAGGATGGTGATTTTATTCCACTATGCACCACTGGAGTTGTGCATGATTGAGTAGTATTGTAAAATCGTTTTATTTCTATCGATAATTCTCAAGCTCCCTCGACAACTGTTAATTACATTTTCTGAAACTAGCTGCCTTTCACAAAATAGGCAAGACTTTTTATTATCAGTAGAGTGTCTTCTAAAAGTTTCACTAATTTGTTAGGAGGATTACTTGCAGACTGTGTAAACTTGTTTATTCTACCACATTACTTATCATCATTACATATACAAAACATCGAGCTGACATCATGGTGTTGCCGTAATGTACGTCATGCAGAATAACGTCAAGATTTCGCACATATAAATATTTAAGCGAAGAGTCGGTTTTAATCTATGGTGTATTGGTTAATAGTTGAACCAATGAGTCACAAGTTTGGCATGAACAGCATGCGTAGTTACATCTTGGCTATGATTTGCTGTTCGTAGCAAACGCCTTTTGCTTCTATTCCTTAATTAAAAGCAAACAGAGTTGTAAGCATCTGAGAGTCCCGCGCAATAATCGTTATCACCACTGCGGCTGGCCAAATGGTTTTGACTGGAATTATATGAAGCAGTATCATAGATGCTTATCTGGTCATAGTGTACCAATGGAACACAGTTGTGCATCAGTTAGTCCCAACAATAAATATATTATCTTCATTCTGTAACAGATGACTAATTAACTGCATACTACTTTTATTGCTGTAAGAAGTAAATTTTGTTTTCCTTTTTCAGACTTCCCATTTGAAGGATTCAGTAGAGAAACCGCCAGAAGTATGATGGCCTTAATGGATGTATCCTTTTTTAACTTTTTAGTTTCAGAAACTTAATTTCCTGTTGGTAAGCCTAGGAAATGTTTGTGACAGACTTAATGATTGTTTCTAATTGTAACATGCCACAGGTTGAGTCAGTAAAAATAAGAATTTTATAACCCTACCTTTCTAGTTGTTTTGCCAGCCTCCGTATAATCAACGTGTATGATCCCTCTTATCAGGATCGTTTAGGTTTTCAAATATTTTTATAGTAGTCGATTTCATTACAAACCAACGTCTTTAGAAAAACTATCTGAACCATACGAGTAGTAGAGATGTGTTTCTACCTAATTAAGAGCTTAATTTTATGCATCGTGAAGTCCAACGACCACATAATTTTCGTCAAATTGAAAAACGTTGCCGTTAACTCCTTTTGTGTTGTCAGTGACTCATCTCTATAGGAATCTGGTGTCAAACACAAGTAGCTTTAAAGATCAGCCTAACAACCACTGAAATAACCAGTTACACTTCTTTATTGTATGAAAATTTGCCTTTCCAACCGAAATAATAGAAATCTACCTGGCTATTTTAGTCACTACCAAGCTGGCCATTGCGGTCACTTAACCTTTTGCATTCAAAAAGCCCAATTGGCTATTTCGACAGTGAAGTTGCCTTTAAAGTTACTCGTTAAGTATAGACGATATTCGAACGTGAAGCATTTGGCACCTGAAGTTACGATACAGTGTGAAAGTTACATACTTAGATCAGGTGACGTGATCTTGCTAAAATGCTGTCTATCGTTGAACCAATGTGATGTGATTAAAAACTAAATTTTATTTGTATTATCAGTATAGATTATAATGTCTCTGTTTCGAAATGACTATCTATCCGTTGGATTAGCAAATAAAGCTGTAGTATTTTTAGCGATTGGTGTTACACTCACTCATCAAAGCTGAGCATCCCGAAATCAGCTAAGGAATTCTAAATCAGATTAATTTCCCATCTCTAACCACCACCAGAACATGCTTACGATAAAATCAACCGAAATATTGAAACACCAAAGGCAGACCAATGTGGTATGGTTGAATTTCTGATTTTCCTTGTAAGACTTTGTGACACTGTAACAGACTGTTCAACAGTAGTACTAGTTACTCATCGTCCATTTTGATTTTCTGTCGTAATCAAAGTAGCATGTCAGTACAGATTTCTTTCTATCAAAGGTCTGAAGACTCACATTACTAGAATCTGGTCATCTAGTCGATCCAGGTGTATTGATGAATCCTTTAAGTGGAGAAAATTCAAACCTACTTTTGATCGAAATTTAAATACTCGTCTTCTGTACCCACTTGGTCATATACTCATCAGTCATACATACCTGCAACCTTGAAGAAACTCATGTTACTTCCGAAGTTCTAGGCTACATCCCTTATAGATGAAGTCGGAAATTATACACTATTAATTTATTTACGATGTGAATAACTAACATAGGGTTACCTCACGAACTTGTCGCCGAACCGTAACCGACATAGCTGTTAATCCGCGAAGTAATATGATTTCCAGGTGTCTCCTGCCAGTGAGTACCAACAACCAAGAAACTTAGATACAAGATTTTCATTCGACCCACAACATCTAAAACCAAATCCAGTGCACTGAAGTGAGCCTCAGTTATTTCAGTAATCACATTACAAACTTTGATTGGTATTCAAAAACTAGTGTCTAAAACAGTTACCGATTCCTGTGTTGATGGCAATATATGTGATTTATTTAGCTCAGTTCTTTTAGATAGTACGTTTTAGATCTTGTACGTTGGATGAATTTAGGTAAACATCACTTGCTGTATGATTTAAGCAATAGAAACCCGATGGTCGCTGGTTCGAATCCGGCCGCGGTCCAAATTTCTATTCCACCTTTAATCATCACTCTGTATTAATATTTTTGGCCTAAATATGATAAATTCAACTTAGGTTAATCTGTTGTATTGATCTTTTTGATCTTTAATGTCTGTTTTTATTAGTTGTCGAGTGGAGGGACATATATTTCTTCTTAATCAATTAGTTGAATATTATCACACACCACAAATCTAGCTGTTTCTTAACCAATATTTCTGTAACTTTAAAATAACTGTATACTCTTTGGTGAAACAGGTTGATTTAAGCGGTGGTCTCGGTTTTTCCGAATTTAAAAAACTGTGGATGGAGTTACGTATTTGGAAGGTATTATTTAAAATTATTTTATTCTTTTATCGTAAACTTGCTGTACGTTATAAATTTTTTTCGAAAAGGAATTCAGTTGTTCTTGTACATAGATAGCATTACCTGTGGTTTGGCAAACTGGTATTACTGATACAAAGTGAGACAAATACCTAGGTCGTGGCAGGGCTGAAACCATCAACTTCCAGAACAGTGCTCTACTAGCTGAGCTATGAAATCCGACTAACTTAATCCGTCTGGTAATCCACATGCTGCTGGTTTGTCCTTCTGTATCCTATACTTTCCTTTCACCTTCAATCATCATCCTGTGTCAGCAATATTAATTCGCGAAACCACGACTACCTCAAATATTCCCGTTAACAATCAATACGACGTTCCCCCTCTAATTCAGCTCGGTTTTTGGATTTGAGACCTGATCAGCAGCCAGATCTTGGAACTTATCTGTGATGAATACCTTTTGACGGTTATGATTGAAACTTAATGGCAGCTTGGAGGTATCTACTTCCAAATCCAACCTAACAAGGACTTATCCACACTCCAAGAGGGGTCATCTATGGCACTTGTGATTGACACGATACCTGATTCTTTTAACTAGTGAACATAAAATCTAGTTTTCACTCGAGTCCAACAATCTAGTTTCATTAATATACTTGGCAGTCTGAGGATTCTTCACTCGAAATAGCAAGTCCCCTTACAACTTCAGTCATCTCCATTTAAGTCCAATATTTTCAGTTTCCGGATAAACGAGAGGTTCGGACTCTTACATTGGAATCAAAATGGCTTGGTTTTCTCTGAACATTTCATCTTCAGAATTGGTGACAATCATGAAGAGTGGTAAGAAGACGAAACACCACGTTGCACATTACTTGTGCCACTTTTGAATATGTGGAAAAAACTCTAAAGTAGGGTTTTGATTACGCAGATCTTAGATACTTTTAACTTTTTGTAGCACACTAGAGATACTCTAGCGTACCAAATAGAAATCTACAGCACAAGCCTTAACTACTTCATGCTAGAAAGGTTATGATCAGCCTACACGGTATAAGAAACAAGCAAAAGCATTTACTGGTGATTGAAGCTAAGACATAATAAATTACTTGGCTTTCGATCAGTAAAGTCACTAATTCCAGGCATCCAGGGAATATGATTAGTTCTGCCTTAGATAGCTGAATGATACATGGCGTAGCACATAGAACTATTTATTTGCTGAGTTTCATTTTATTTTCGATAGACAAAAAACACCAACTTCATCGCCTATTTCAGGAAGGGTATGTCGGTTGGCCTCCAGATACTTCAAATGTAACACTGCGCAGTACATGTGATCCTGATTAACTAAACATGAGGAGTTTACGAATTGCACAGTTTCCATTCACATTAGACTTAATAACATCCAATCGCGATACTATCATAGACTCCAAGGGAAACTGCCCATTCAAGTTTACAGCCAGAGATATTTTTGCATTGACTGGTCAGTGGAGGGTAACCAACTTCATGTTGTCTAGTCCTAAATGCTGACCGAATTCTGTCAATCATCTTGCAATATGACCACCAAGTTACAAGACTCACCATCGCCGATGCACTGGCATAGATGTTAGTCGGAGGGAGACAGTCGACAGGAAAGCTTCCTGTTTTGAAAAAGTCAATTACTTGTGATCTAAGTGTGCACCACAGTTCACACCTTTCAAAGGGGATCAGAACTAGAATTAGTTGCTGTGAAATGAGGTATACGCGTATAAATAGATCATAAATTCATCAGAATTACCTTTTTCTGGAAAACATATCTTTTTCGTTTCAGACCATATTTAAAAAATTCGATGAAGGGCATACTGGTAGTCTAGAGGCATTTGAACTAAGAAATGTAATGCGAACAATCGGTAAGCGTTTAACTACTCATAAATTGTATTTATATAATTAAATACTTTCCACCTAAAGCCTCCTCAAGTACTTTCGAGGACTTTCTTTAGGAAAACAATGACATATTCTATAATGTAAACTTTTTGACACAAGAATTTTGCAGATTGAGATTTTCACTGAAAATAACTTTCTATGAGCTTCTAAAAATAAAGCTTCCCATGGATTTATAAAGTGAACGCTAAAGTTTCAATAGCTTCTGTGCCTGTTTAATTTTTTCACGCTTACTGTGACACTGATTTAGTCAGAGCGCAAGCATGAAGCATAAATCACAAAAAATTCTCACGTAATTTGTCTATCTAAAGTGCAAACTTGGTGCGACATAGTTGTCAAGAAGTACGTCTGGTAAATAAACAAAGACGTAACACCGAAAGAAAAATTTCTCGTCGGTTTCTTTTGTTAAAACTGTACAATCATATTCAGAATTATTGCAAACAAATAACAGTCTATTAGTTATCAATAAGGATACATGATTGCTGTAATGTTCAAGAGTAGAATAGAAAGTTTCTTAAGACAAGAAATTTACTACCTTGGCTATGGTAGGGATAATGAAGAAATGATGTTTTTGGATACAGGTCAGATTTCAATTTGTGAATTGCCAGTGATTGGGTAATGCATCAGTGACGCAGTTGCAGACCTTTAGAATTGTGAAGAAGCACTTTGTAAATTATTTTGAAGAGACTGTTGAGACAAGCCAGATGTCCGGAAATAACTAGGTGTTCAAGAATAGGATTGTTGGTTTTTTAACTCCTCTGAGTAACCAAGCTTGGCAATGTTCCAGAATACGTTTATAGAATCAGCGCTGTGCACAGCTTGTTTACGTTGCTCAAAATCAACAAGTAAACTTATAGCTGCACGCTGAGGTGGCCAAAAGAGTTAGTCTGTCCTTAAAACATTAATGCATCAGTTTTCTGCTGGAAAATGGGATTCTCATATCAGATGTTTTTCTCAAAAATCTTGAAGCGATTTTCGACGATTTCAGTTGCGATGTCGCTTTTGAATTCCCGGCCCATTTAGAGTTTTCTTTCAGACAATCAGTACCTTTTATGTTTGTGGAGTTCACGGATATAGGTTGATAACCGTTGTCCATTAGAATGTTATGTAGAAATAGTAGCTCACTATCTAGTTTGGTTTTGTTTTTAATCCTTCAAGAAATTACGCCGCATAGAAAAAATAAAACAACAATAAGAAAAGATTGCTGTGTATAGAGAGAAAAAAAGACGGTAACAAAAAAACGTGAGCAAATTATCGAAGGAACAGCCGTAAAAGTACATTCAAGTAGCGTTTGTCATTTTCGTTATACGTGATAACAGAAAACACAGGTAGGAGAGACCTGACAACAACAACAACAACTATCTGGTAGGGAAGAGATCAACGCAGATGAAACCAATGAAAGACAGTGAAAGAAACCTAGTTACCAAAGAGGAGAAACAAAGGAAACTATGGGCTGACCACTTCAAAAACTCTTGAATCGACCACCACCACCTCCTGCAACTCGTCTAGAAATACCACCAGCGACGGCAGAACTACCAGTGAACACAAGCCCTCCAACGAAAGCAGAAGTGAAGTCCTGAACGCCATAAAACTGCTGAAATCGGAGAAAGCAGGTGGACCAGATGGGATTTCGCGAGAAGCACTGAAAACAGGCGCGGAGACAACAGCAGACATGCTCACATCACTACTGCAGAAACTTGGGAAGGAAGGAAGGAACCTGCTTATCGATTGGAAGAAGGGCTACCTTGTCAAACTTCTAAAGAAGGGAGACCTAAGGCTTTGCAAGAACTGGCAAGGAATCATGCTCCTGTCCGCACCAAGCAAAATGTCATGCCACATCGTCCTGGAGAGACTAAAAGATGCGGTGGATTCAGGAATTACAAATCATATGCGGACTAAATTGCAACGCTACACTACGCATCATCATACGACAGAGTATAGAATGACAGTCAGCTCTTTACCTCAGCCTCATCGACTTTGAAAAGGCCTTCGACAGCGTTGATAGAGAAGTAATTTGGCAGCTGCTGCTTCAACACTTCGGTTTCAGTGCCATAAACCTTTATCAAACTCATTCAACAGCTATATGAAGATGCCACATGCCAAGTGATCCACAATGGAAAGCTTGGCGACGCCTTTGAAGTGAAGACAGGAAGGAGTGAGACAAGGCTGCCTACTATCGCCTATAATCTTCCTGATTGTGGTGAACTGGACTGGATCAGGCAACAAACTGTGAGGAGCGAGAAGATGAACATAAGCTAGACCGATGAAAAGAGCCTAGAAAATTTGGATTTCGCCGATGATGGCTTGTATCTAATGTCGCACAAACTCGAAGATCTACAGGCAAAAACCAACGAGTTGACAGAAGACGCAGGGCAGGGAAGACGGGATTTCAAGTGAACGTAGAGAAGACAGAGGTGATGAAGATACCCAACCAGCAACAAAAAGCACCGATCACCATAAACGGAAGAAACTTAAAGGGAGTTCTCTCTCACCTACCACCGGGGCAGCATCGTTTCAACTACAGACAGCACAGACGACGATGTCAAAACCAGGATTGGAAAAGCAAGACAGGCTTTCATTAATCTGAAATCAGTGTGGAGATCTGCTGCACTAACACTCAGCATAAAGAACAAGATCCGGATTTTCATTAATAATGTTAAGTAAATGCTTCTATGTGATGGTTGAGAGACTTAGCGCGTCACGAAAAGCATTTCAAACAAACTATAGACATTCATCCACAGCTGCCGCTTACGCTCACTTGATACTGAAGATCAGATGGCCAGGAAGAATAAGTAACAAGGAACTCTGGGAACGAACCAATCAAGAACCCATCGCCTAACAAATATGCAGAAAAAAGTGGAGATGGATTGGGCATACACTGAGAAAACCATTCGGAGACATCACGCGCCAGGCCCTCGAATGGAATCCAAAGGGGAAACGACGAGTCGGGAGTCTGAGGCGAGGATGACATCAAGATCATGTGAGGAAGAAATGAAAGCTTGTGGACAGTTGTGGAGGGAGGTTCAAAAGACTACAGAGAAAAGTGAAATAGAGACGTGCTCCTGAAGCCCTATGTTCCACTAGAAACCCAAAGGACAAATAATAATAACCGCTAGTTTCGATTATTATCGTCACTTAGGATAAGTGCTGGCAAAAACTTATGCCAATTTTGCACGTATATGTTTATGGGCACTGGCCACACGCTTCACTCCTTGGATTTTCTTGTGAATCCACACTGCGTTAGGTAAGTCAATTTAAATCGACAATGAGGCATGATGCCTCGGGGAAATGATCGCTAGAGAATCGAACTAGTTAAATTACTTTCGAAGTGCTTAGATCTTACAGATTTCTCAGTGTTCATATTCAACACTACTTACACTCTTCAGTATATACTCTGGGTAAATTATCAAAAACCTAGGCATTTTGGTTTCGTTTTTAAAAATATTACAAAATAATTTGCATATTTAGTTGTAAGTACAAGAATCACTTCTGTTGACTTCATTGTAATTGCATAATGAACTCTTCTTCCCATCAGGCTTTCATGTCAGTAACTTAATTTACAAAGCGATTGCATGTCGATATGCTAATGAAAAAGGTCAAGTATCATTTGATGACTATATTTTACTGTTGGTTCGACTGTCAACTGTTTTTGAAACATTCAAAGCACAAGAACGCACTAAAGATGGGCGAGCTGTTTTCGGGGCTGAAGATGTAAGTTTAAACCAAAGTGTTTAAATTCTTCAGTAGATTTCCATAATGCACTGGTAGCAACGCATTAGACTGACTAACTTATATCTAAGCTCTTTTAGTCGTAAAGTAGAGGTGACAACATACAACCAGTATCTTGTAATTTTTTTCAACTGCAGCCTACACAGTTTAGAATTTCTTGATATTGAGTTCTACTATCTAGAGTAGACTCTAAAAATCATCCTAACAACTACTGAACTAGCCAATTAGTTTTCTTCATCTTAGCAAAAAGCTACCTTTCTAGCAAAATAGGAGAATCTAACTGGTCATTTCTGTATTTGTCAAAGCGGTTTTCGAAGTCCTAAATGCAAACGAATGTGTATGTCTACAATATTTAATTGGACATTCGTATTGTAAAAATTAGAAAGTAGTTATCAAACGTATTGAGATGGATACTAATGATATACTCTAAAATATCACAAGAATCAGTTCAGTGTAACTCACTGACTATATATAGTTTTCTGCACTAGACGATAAATCTCACCTATTCTGAACGAGCTGGTGATAAACTATCTTGTCAAGTCAATACATAGTAAACCGAGGACTGGGAGGGAAAATACAACGATCAACACAATAGGGGATTAAAATTAAAAAAATGTGAGAACAAAAAGGAAGTGACATAGTTGATCCTAATCTTGGTAAGAAAACAAAGTTTTCCAAGGCAGGTGTAGTGTACGAACAAATTGTTTTGTACACATAAAGGTGGTTTCAATTTGTGTATGGCTATGGCTTCCGTAAATCTTAGTATATGTCTCTTACTGTTTCTATATAAAACTTTGAAAGCTGTTTGAACATTAATTTTGTGACCTGTTTCTATGATATGTTCAGCTATAGATGAAGAGGATCGTCTCCCACCAGCGTTTATCACGGTTTCACACTCCATTTGTTTTTGAAGCCATTTAGGTACTGTCTAGTTACCGTAGCCTCGATATTTGGAGCAGAGTAGCACATAAAATAGTAAAACACTATATGTAATCATATACTAAGTGTTTTAGTCACTAACTCGAGAAAAATGGGACCTTATACACATGAGCGACTTTAAAGGCTATCCTAACAACTATTGAATGAAATGGCTAATCCGGTTTCTTTATTTTATGAAGAGACTACTTTTTCAACTGAAACAGAGAAACCTGACTGATTATTTCAGTGGTTGCTAGGGTCACTAGCGTAACTAAACCAAATATGTGACTATCCAATCGCACGAAAAAATCAAAACACTAGGTTTCATAAAGCGGAGGTCTTCTGCGTCACATATCTAATACATACTGATAACATCATAATTGAATAAACAGGTTTGAGTACCCTTGGAAGATGGTGAACTGAAATATTAGTTTGTCAAAGTGGATTAGCAAATAAACAGTAATTCAGCTAATAACACGAAAAATTCATGAATTGATGTGAAAGAAAACAATAATTCAAATTGCTGCAATGTAAAACATATATATGCACTTCAGTTTGTTCAATAACAATCAAAATTGTGAATCTGGTTTTAAACTTATAAATGATGAGATATAATCCGTATTTTTACAAGCGATGTTCGAATACACTTTGACGTAGATGCTTTATTACTCCCATATCATCTGATGAACTCATAGTTCATGTTATGCTGTTCATAAATATGTGGCTACAGTGTTGCCTTTTTGTAAGAGATAAGCGGCAAATAATTTTTTACTAAACAACTGAGAATATGTACAGTGCATAAGTATTATGAATATTTGTAGGACAAAGTGAACCGGAACTACAAACTCATTTATTCACCAGAGGTGCCTGCAAATGTTGAGATTTCCGCATAGTATTCAGAAAAGAGTTGTACTGTGTAGAGTGATTATTACTACAACCATTTAAACAAAAAATCATCACTTAGATATTACACAATTAGAAATAGTTAAATGTACACCAACTTCAATATTCGACAATCATTTCAAGTGATTGACCACACTCATGCTTAAATTCATTTGTGGGACTTTCTGCTTCCCGAACTTTTTCTTAATTTGTGGTTCATGGACCTCGGGATTCGAATTTAGACTGGTGTGGCACCTATCACTGTTAGGTGATGTCAGAAAGTTTCGCGCAGGTAGGCTAGTGAACGGATGATCACGTGGCTGTTCACCTTTGCTTTCTCGATAAGCATACAGGGGCGACAAATCTACCTAACCAAACTGGCCCCTCTAGAATATTGATTATCCTTATGTATTTGCTACACAGGTAAGAACATTTTTGATAAAGTTAATTACTTATGATTGAAGTATGCACTACAGTTCTCATTTGCACCACACATTTTATGTTGTTTTTATTACTTCACAGTTCATTCGTTCTGTTATTTATATCTAAAGAACAATGAAGGTGCATTCCACTTTACAATATGTCAACACTGATTATGCCCAGCATGGTGCTGGTCACAAAATCATGGCAGAAAATCCTAATAGCATATTTACCTTCCATTAAATTTACAGGGAAACCATATTTAATGGCTATGTGATTTTCTACTTGCTTTTCGTTTTGTTTTTTTATTTTTCTTGAAGAATGCTGTTTTTGTCTTGCTTTTACTTAATATCTTTAAAAATATACTTCCACCAGGCAACAAATTTTAATGCATTTTCTGTTTGGGTATATCTCATGCATACTGTGCGGGGAGCCATTTAGCAGCGAAGAATTATAATACATTGAACGCTCGTAATAGACAAATTTGGTTAGCAGGCGATTTTCACAAAACGAAAAACGCATTTCCTAGGATGTTTTGTTGGTGAGAAAGATCAGTACTCCTATCAATGATTTCAAGTTTATGAAACGCTAGGAAAAGTCACTCGATAAGACAAAAGATGGATAGATGCATATCCCGTGAAATCCATTCAATGTATATCGCCAAGATGATAAAAAACGATACAATTATACAGGGGTAATATAGAAACCTCATTTAAGTTGGAATGCACGAATAAACTGCATTAATTCGACCAGGCTAGATTTTCTTCTAGTTCAGCCATAACCGCAGAAAAATATTTGGGTTGTATTCATACTTCAAGTATAAAAGGGAAATGCCAAGCGTACTCGATAGCCACTACCTTAAATTGGTGGTTCGGCTTGCATACAACAATGACCAAACGAGCTACACTGGCTTAAACCCCTATTTCTTCGAAGTCCTAGAATATTAATGACTGTTGAATAGTAAGATGAAAATCGCTTACCCCATACCATAGACTGCTACTCTACGATGTGGGTCCGAGGGTGAAGCCGTACTGGTGACCGGACGTGATATGGCAGCAGTAAGGTGTTTCCCCGGGTGCCTGGTAGTGCAATACTTACGCAGTTTTCCCTAAGGGAAGGCGAAGGTCAGCAATATTAACCCGCAAAATGACACCTCCGTTGCTAATGGTGTAGGTTTTCCTAAATAAGTGTTAGAAAAATAACATCCCAAACAATCCTCGAAATGCTGTGTGCAACCAGCCTCAAAGAGATGTTCCGTGGGCCCTGTGTACACAGGAATCTTTCCATATTTGTCTCTGGTATCCTGCAGAAATCAAATTCCCCGTGTCGAGAACCGGAAAGTACCAATTGTCCGCATGCTTACAGTAATATCCAAGACCCAAACATAGCTCTGTCTCCTTCCCATTCACTTCCTAACAGATATTCAGCCTCTTACAACTTCCCCAACCTCTGACTCTGCAACCATTGCCAACGACGCAAGCTACCTAAAAACCATTCCTCGCCTTTTGCTTCTGAGAAGCGTTTACAGGACCCAACTGTGATTATCACCTGCGCAATACGGTGTTTTCTAAATTGACTATACGAGTATTCGAAGATTTAATGGCTAGCTCTCGTGGGATCGCTGATGTAGGCGTAGCATTGATCTGTACGGCAGAAATTCCGTTTCTCGACTGGGCACCAGCACACAGCCAACATCGTGCTCCTCGACTGAATGGATGTATAAACACTAGGAAGAACAGTAAGACTAGGCGATGTCTACTTCTAACATTTAACACTATTTCGTGTCATCAGAATAGCTGAACTATTGTTTTCCATCCATCTAAGTGATGTTAACAAATGAGTTGTGAAGTTCATCTTAGTGACTCACAGTGGAATCCAGAACGCGCGTTTGATCCTATTTACTTATATATTTATCCCACTATATGTGACCAATCCTACGAGGACATCTGTGGTCAAAAATCTGTTGTCCCACCATATTTTCTACCTTCAACAGCCATTTCTCAGCCGTTGAACACAACAGAACCAACTTCACCGTCTTTTAACAAATAGCTAGATATCTTACCAGTCGGATCCAGAGATGACAAATTTGCAAAAACAAACAGGTCTACTGGATCCCAGGTGAGTTTGCGTCAGCAACCCACCTATTTAAATTGATGCAACTGCCCAAGTATTGTATTGTATCACTTTACCTCTTAATCTTAAACTAGGAGTAATTGCCAACCTTTCGTAGGACATCAGCTGACATTCAGTAGACGCAGAATGCTTGCCAAGATTTCCACTCGATACGTTCAAAAGACCAGCATTCAGTCACCCTTTCCTTAGCAGAACGATGTCGTCTGCGTAATACAAGTCGACCAGGTAAATACCCTTAAGGTCAGATGTACCTAAGATTGCGTCCATTAGTTCATCCATAACGAAATTAAATAAGAACGGTGACAGCCAGTACCGCCGGCGGACACTAGTTGTCATTTTAGATCGAAACTCTACGTAGGCCCCTACACGTCTGCGTGAATCCTAGTAGAGGACTTTGATTAGCGTTGTATACCTTCTCGACATTCTCCTTACCACCAGACACTGCCACAGCACCTCGCAGTCGAATGCCGCCTTCAGATCTAGAAATCCGGCGTTGGCCACAGGTAAGAATCCCTGCGTTCCAGAACCTGCCAGAGGGTGATTTGATCCATGCATCGTCGTCCAGGTTTGAAACATACCACTTGTTCTTAAGTTTGGTGTTCTCGAGCCCTAGTTATACTACAACTACAACTATAGTTCCAAGGATATTGGGCATGATACTAGTCAAACTATTTCTCTTATGATTATTACAAAAAGATTTCTCTTCCTTCTTCAAGGCTGGGATGATTAATGAAGCAGACCAGTCTCACGGGACTACCTTTGATTACTATACACCACTTGACACGTCCATCACTCACGTCAGCCATTTCCTACTTCCGTCCATGGTGAAAATTCTGGCGGCAAACTGTCAAATCCTGCTGCTTTGCATAGCTCTAGGTCCGACACAGCCCTCTCTCTCAGGGAGAGTTGGAAGCCCGATATCTACCACACATTAGCGTTCAAGCTAGATTTTGTGCAAATGAAGCGTTGCTGAGGGCTAGTTGAACTGTACTTTAAAGTGTTCCGTTCCATGTTCTAGTTTTCTGTACTGTCATTATGAGCAACGCATTCTTCTTGGCGATGGTTTCACCAACCGTTTTCTTCTTGCCTTTGTCCTCAATAAGCCGAAATAGTTGCCAGGTGTTACCCAGGGCTAACGTCTTCACCCTCCCTTACCACCCACTACTGCTCCCAACCATTGCAGACTTGATCAATTTACGTTTAGGTCACTTTCGCTCTTCGTTGCGGTCACAATCAGTTGGAACCAGTCTTCTCGCACCAATCAGTTTCGATGACGTTGAGGAAATCCAATGTGTAGGTTATCAACTGTCTTTTACGCTGTTTTTGCAGCAAATTTCGTATCACCCCAGGTTTCTTCAGCATGAGCATTGCTGTCACGTGCAAGTACACGCTCCGCTACTTACCCCGGAATACGTACTTGGCGTCCTCACCTTACAATCGAGAATAGACAGGTTTTACAATTTTCTTGTCTTGTTAAGATTGCACAATTAAGAAAGCAGTGGTCTAGTACGTGTAATAACAATTCAGTAATGTGATTATTTTGCAGTAAACCTAACAAGTTTTTTCATTATTTTATTTGGCCATTTTTATAATCGGATTTATGCGGTTGCATTATCATAGCTAAAATCGATTTGCCAATTAGTTCGTTTCATATTACCCTAATACGTACTCGTCAATGTCACATTAGTTGCTAAAAATATCACGCGTTATCATGCTGTCGTAGTTGATTACCTAGTGACGAAACAACACATTGACATTTCCCTTTATTTATGTTACTTACTCATTGCAGGGTAGCTGGAAAAAGAGTAATCACAGAGAGTCATTTCACGACATTACAGGTCGTTTTAGTCAGCTTAGTCGGTAAAATTTTAGTTTTATCGACAGATTAGTCTTCCTCTCCTAATATCTAACCTTGACACTGCTCCTTTTGTAATCCTACCACACATAAACAACGGTTAAATAAACATACAACAAAACAGCCTTTCGGAAGACAAAACTAAGCATAGTGTTGCATAGTACGCCCAGTATTTTGTCGGACCTTTTGCCGGTCCAAGAGAAACACATAAGACGTGATATCCTAAGGTCGAAATGGATAAATGTAAGAATTTGAAAATGAGCACTGAATTGATGTTTCGTGTACACCCGAAATGATACGGCTACATAACAGAACGGACAAGATATTCATAAGAAAGCTACTTTGAATTCCCTGTATTTTATTATATTCTGTGAAGCTGTTACTCGCTGGTTTGAGCATTTCTTTTTCAAGTAGTTGGTACGGAGTTCGAATCCTCCTTTACTTCGACCAAGGGAACCAGATAGTATTCATGAGAACAGGATTTTTTATGTATCACATAGTGGGAGAGTATCATTACTCATAATTACATACTTTGATGAATATGATCAATATATTCTACTCGAAACATCATCAGTGAATAACAGTTTTACTGTGTGACATTCATAATAATGGGAACGGATAGTATTATAAACCAAACCATCACAAATCAAGTTGAAAGCTTAGTACTAGGCAGGTGCGTTACTTTATAGTCATTATTTATACATATTATATTCATCAAAAGCTTCACTTATGTGTACACAAGGCTTCTAAACAGGCACTAGTTTGAAACTATGTGTGATACGAAAAATTCTAAGGGCATCACTCAAAGTAGAACAACCAAGAACTTACGCCTTCAAACAACTCTAATTGCAAAAATAAAATCAGTGTAAAAATGCGTTTGTCGCCATTTTGAATGGTAAGATAATCAGCATCTAAAAGAATACAATTGTCGAGAGAAGTACATCTATTTAGTCCACAATATAATACAAATTTGCTGCATTATAATTTGTTGAATGCTGCAATATCCACTGACTGGACATGGTCTTCAAATTGCATGATAGATTCCTCAAGAAAATCAGTTCCCACCTGAAAAGAAACAAATCCAGTGTAATAATACTAACAAAAATAGATTTTCTGTAACATCACAAACGATGTCACAGTCACGCAAAATCTACAAGGACTGAACTAAGTTCACCAAGAAATGAAGCTGTTCAAAGAAAATACATGAAACCATATTTTGCCTAACAAAACAAACATAAAGATGCTTTATTTGCTGTTTTAACTAAAGAATACGACATATCAAGTATTTACTACTGAACTAACCTTATCATCCTCAACGACACAGCAGATCTGCAGCTTTTTGATGCCATAGGCAACGGGCACTAACTTCGATTGACCCCATAAAAGACCATCAGCCTGAATGCTTTTAACCAAAGAAGTAAGCTCCTCCATATCTACTTCGTCACTCCATGGCTTTACATCAAGGATGATACTGGATTTCGCCACAACTGTTGGCTCTGGACAACAAATCAAGTGTGCATGCAAATACAGTTGCTTATCTAGGCAACATTAAAACTAAATGAATCAACTAAATATATGAAAACAAAGGTTTACATAGAATGAGAGCATCAACTTTACTTGTTTCTTATTTTTAAAGGAAACCTCATTATTGGTCCCCTTGACTGAATTTCCGTACGTAACTGCAGAGCGTCATTTTTTGAGCCGATAAATGTGTTCAAATTCGACTCAAGAATGGAAATATTTTCTGTGTATTTTAATACTAAAATTGTTTCAGGTTTGAATCTTAAGGTCAATAATAGCATATTTAGATTAAAAAGACGCAGTACCAGGTGTTAGAAAAAATGTTTGAATAGTGCGAGTACTAAATTGCGAGACCTCTGACAGCTGACAAGAGCCATTTGGAAAAGAGCAAATTTCAAAGTTAACAACGAGACGAATGAAGTCAACACTTGGTGACTAACTAAAGTTCTTTGGAAAAGAAATGTTTCACCTTGCATGGTTTACCGTCGGCTATCGCCGTACTTCTGTTTCCTTTTTTGTAGCTGACTTCATCGGTCAACTAAATCTCTCGATTTATATTTTGATAATTCAATTTCGCTGGATTGTTGCTCAATGAGTTGACAGAATACTACCAACAATCTAGGCAGTTTCTATCTGCTAAAAAAATCAGCAGTGCTGAGAAAGTGCTGATAAACTAAATGTTGGAAGTCATCTACTTCCAACCCATGTGCATTTGTTATAGTCCGAATTCACTTCAAACCTGAAATAAAATGTATAAAAAACACTTTGGCTTTATCTCGAATTAATCTCCAACACTGGCATGCTGGGAGTTAACAAATATATGTGTGGGAATTAGAGTAGGTTCTTGTTAGACTTGTGCGACTCAACGAGCAGTGAAAAAAGTGGCCCGCCACATTCTTTCAGCTTCTCAACGGTGTTCAAGGCAATAAATGAAGTCAACATAATAGTATTCAAATGCCAGTATTCCTTAATTTGAGTGTTCGTTCTTCAAAGCCCATTTGAAACTAACAGGCATGAAACAAAACAACAGCCTGTGGTGTATAAGATCACTAACCATTGCTAACAATAGGATTTATGGTAGGTTACCATGAATGATCAGACTAGATTGGTAAGTTGGAAGGAAACCAAGCGATTTGTTGCTTTATACAAAATGCATGCCTCGCTTTAACGTAGCAATTGTTGTGCGAATTGTACTCTACAAAATTATTATAGTTGAATTATCGCAGACAAAAATAAAGTATACCGAATTTCAATTCAAAACAATGATGGTCCCAGTACTTGCTTCAAATCACTGAGAGGACGAATATGCAAAATGAAACAGCATAGTCAGTTCAAATGTCAATTATTCTGATCCTTCACCATGGCATTAAAAGTTCTTGAGTTAGTCAGTAACTAGTTCCTTTATGCTACATACACAACAGGTTAGACAATTTTTTCTAAACTATATTAATCCTTCTAAGTTCTCATAAAAGAACCCCATTGACATTTTGATAAGTGGGATTAAAAATTCTGGAATTGTTCTTAACCCTCGAACGAATAGGTAGGCTTTGTTATTTGTTCTCACTGAGTACCAACATCATATATATACGTAACAAAACTTGTCATGATTAACTCCGGAAACAAATTACGTCAGCTTACTTGAGGATTTTGCAGCATAATACGCAGCCTCTCGTTCAGCTCTAACACGCTCTGCTTCACGATCATCCTGAAGTAGTTTTAAAAATGCTAAAAGCGTACCTCGCTATCCGAACCAAAGAGATCAGATTCTGCGTCCTCCGCTGTTTTTTTAACTGCATCCCCAGATTCATTCAACAACTTTAAACTGCCTATTCGCGTTTCAAGTTCCGATATTCTATTGACGAGGCTCTTGACAACTGCACAAATTAAATTTATGAATTTTACACAGTTACAAAATCACACAAATAGAATACAAAATTTTTCACGGTTAGAAACGCAAAATTCGAAAGGTTATATAAGGTTGTATGGTTAGCAAATATTTAGGTGTAAAACCAGATCCATTTTGATACTGATTGAATGACGTTCCTTATCACATATGATTTCCGTCATTCAATCATTTCATTTGCTCTCACACGAATAGTAACGAACTAATAAATTCATCAATCTGTCAACTAACGCAATACCATTAAGTTACTCAGACATCAATGATCTCATACTGTTAATCTGGTGAATTTGACATACAGATAAACCAAAGCAAAATTTTGTACAACAGCGAATCAGTTTAGTTCAGTCACAGTTACCAGAAAAATGACACTGAAGTACACATAAGTGCATGACAGACCAAATGAATGGGTGTCAGCAAAATTTTCGAAATATAATGTACATATGTGCTCCTGTGACGGATTTTGGGGCACTTCACCAAAAATATCTAGCTACTTATTCCCATTGTTTCGATGACCTTGGTCACGCTCTTTACATCTAAAACTTGAGGAGAGATGCTAACTTCATGAACTAGAGCCATACCTGTTCCGGGGTGAATATAGGATAGCCAATGGGGACAGAGAATTCAAGTTACCGTCTAAATAGCCACTACAACTCTTTTTAGTTTATAAGCTCGCTATTAGAGCTAAAAAATATGAATCGCTAGATTCTTTATTGTGGCCTGTGTTGTTTAGGCATTTTATACATGCTACAGTTAACTTCCATTGGTAACATGAAGATGTAATCAGCAAACCAGTGCACATTCGCGTAGTAGGAAATGAGTCGTACCTATTGCGTGAGGGATAATGATACTACCTAACTGCTCAAATCTTGGTAGGTGGAGCGGTATTTAAATCCACAGTCCATTGGTTAAGAGTCAACTGTCTACACCAATGAGCCACAGTTCCCTCGGTAGTATACATCAGCCGAATTAGCTTTACTTTGGACATCAGCTGATAGGCATGTGTTGAGTCAGTGTTAACAAGACGATGCGAATTGCAGAAGGCCTTTCCATGCACAAAAAATGACAAATTATACATAAACAGAACGTTCAAAAATACTTTTACTCTCTCTGATAAGCAAGCGGCATAAAAATAAATGACTTTTCATAGAAAATAGAGATCGCTAAGCCACCTGTCAAACGTTTAAAATCTAGACCGTAGTACTGATGAGGAATTAGTTCGCTTGTCAAAGAAATTGTACAGATTTAAAATAATGCCCAAGACAACATGAGCTTGAAATCCGTTTGTAGTGGGTGGGCAGCATAACACCTAGTCTCGCCGGGACAATCACTTACGTATATATATATATATATATATATATATATATATATATATATATATATATATATATATACTTAAGAAGAATACTTTTACTGCTCATTTCATTTTACTACAAAAGGCATAAAAGTTGCAAGATTAATATCAATAATGCAATGCCAGCATTCAGGTACTAATTAAGAGGAACCACCTACCTTTTTCAAGTTCATCTAGACGCGAAATATCGAATGGTCGGGATACGGATACCTGTAAAAACAAACGTTTATGTTAGGTTAGCATCGCAGAAATTATGAACCGGTTGACAGAAACTAAACAGGTATCCAGAAACCCAGCAAGTCTGAATCCGTCTATATGCTAAGTGGATTAACACACTACAGAAATCATCAGCGCCACAATGCAAGTTTAAACACCATACAGCAAAAACAAATGTTTCAGAAGCCACATACACGTCCAGGAAGTAGGCAACGTACCCGGCAGCCCAAAATTCAGAATATAAGCGAATTCGACGCCGTCTGGGAAGTAATAGCGATACGAATACGAGCGATTACTGCTGTAACGACATGAGTGAGGACCATTAACTGGTTGATAATGCCAAATTATTCCTTGAATGAAGGAACAGATTGCCACGCACAACAAAAAGCTGGCAAGTGCTGAACAAATATTCCACTTGCCTCACGAGCAACATGGCATGACCACTATCCACAGATAAAAAACAGACGGGTCATAATCCTGTCTATACAATGAACACCAACGCTGATTACTTGCTGCAGATTAACTATCTTCTCTGTAAATATTTGATGTATAACCAAAAATACTGAAGAAGTGATATCACTCACCAAAATGTGACTTTCACAGTGCAAAGTTATCTACCATCAAAACTCTACCTAGCTACTAATCAGTGGCGCAGACAAGTATGTGTATTACATAGACAGACAGACAAAATCAACGTACAACCTCACACAAATGTAGATCAGTTCAAGTTGCCACATTTCACAGCAACATGGAGAGAAAAAGTGGATAGAGAGACTGTGATGTTAAATTAGTCAGAAGTGTATGGGATGAGAGAAATTAAAAATGAAGGTTAGTAAGATGGTCAAAGTTTGGAAGATGTAAAAGAGTGAATATATCTTCGTAATTGTGGTTGATTTTCGGCTGTTGCCAACCAATGACTGCTATTATCTTGAAGACCTTAGTCCTATCTACACGACTCAGACCAAGCGTCGGAGAATTCATGGATTGATCTCAGGTGTTAGTGTTGTTACCCTTATCCTCCTTCCAACCTGATCATACTTTGGTTAACATTGTACGTTGAGATGAGTGGTGCGACGGCATGCGTAAGATATGTTCAAGCCACGTCAGTTTGTGAAGGTTTACAACCCCATCGACCAACGTATCTTCCTTATCAACTACCCTTCGCCTAACTTTGACACGACCCACACGGGGATTCCCCCATGAGTGAGCAGTACTATGAAGACATCTGTTGTCAGAACTTGTAACTTCTTTATGTATTTTTTTCATGGACTATGTCTCAACCGTATAATAAGACAGTCAACTGCAGCACAGTCACTCGCCCTTTATTAGATAGTTGGGTATACCGCCAGCGTCAGAAATGACAACAATTGGTAAATGAGCTGAGAATTTGTCTGCAACCAATTTATCTGGACTTAAGTAAGCGAAGTGTTCAATGCATTCAACCACCTCACTCACTATCTTCAAACCAGAAATACTTGAAGGCCAGTTTTGATTTCTGCTCACGGAGCTCAAAAGACCCATTTTCTTAGCATTTCTGACTAGCAGGACGTCGCCCGCGTACAGCGTTTCAACCAGGTGACCTCTGAGGTCACTCCCAGTGAGGTCATATGTACCTATGTCGCCTACAGCAAAGTAAAATAAGATCGGTGACAGCAAGCATTCTTAGGAAACGCCATTGGTTGTAGTTACTAGAGGTTAAAACTTTGCTGGTGCGCTTACTCGACTGAGTTCGACTAGAGCTTCCACTAGCTTTACTTTTCTCTGTACTATAGTCTCCGTCACAATAGTTCAGCAAGGAGTTGGATGCCGCTTTGCGTCAGGAGACATGGCAAGTGGCCGGAGCTTGTAATTCTCCCTGCAGTTCTGATCCTGTCAAATGAAGATACTACTGATACACCGCCATCTCAAACCTATCTGCTCGATTGAATTTTTTTCTTGGGTTCTGAAAAGATGTCAGATGACCATGGACCCAAAGTCTTGGTACATACCAGTCAAACTGACTTACATGTGGTTGTCACAAGACCCCTCCCTTTCTAGACTGGAGTAATTAACGATATGGGACAATATGATGAGAATACCTCACGCTATTTTATGAATCTATCAGAACTCCTCTACCTTCATCCTTAAAGTGTCTCACCGCTGACCATCAGACAGCTTGTGAAACTGTATTATCAACCTCTACGAAAGTAGGGGGACCAGAAGCATGTCTTTCACGTTCGGGTGGGTGCTGTGATACGGAAGCTTGACTGCAGGCTAGGCAAACCGATGTACAACATATTCTCTCAACGCTGTAGCCACCTATCCTGCGAAGTTCGGCGAATCCGGTGATCTTACTAACCATGGCTTTACTGCCGGTAACATAAAATGTCTTAATAAATGCTGAGTATAGTCTAATGCCGCTGCCTTCATCTTCGCTCTCGCTACGCCTCTAATGCTTGCGATCATTGCGAAGGGTTTTAATCAGTTTACTTCAACTCGCTGTTACTCATTGTGATTACATTGAAGCAACGACGAAGTATGGATGACGAAGGAGAAGCAGCATTCGGTCTGCGCAAGGCACACGCTACGCAAGACATCCAGATAGCAGGAATCGAAATTGGAAATTAGTGATATGTATCCATTATTACATAAGCTAGTAAAAAAACGAGATCTTTTGACTGAACATAAAATCGCTCAAAAACATACTAACAATATTCAGCAAAACAAAAACCCAAATGTCAATACCACTATTGAGGCGCAAAATAAGCAAAGTATGGATAACAGTAACACCAAAGGACCGCTAATCAGCTCACTCACGTTACTTTGGAAACTGACTCACAAAAAGTTTACCAAAATAAGTTCTAATTCACTGACCTTTAAGTCCTCAACGTTTTTAAGTCGCCGACGTATAGCAGTAACTACTAACTACTGCATTCATCAACTTTTAACTCGGACCTACAAAGTAGTTATTTTGAAGTGCTGAGACACAAAAAACCTTGTTATAATACGGTGTTTATTCGTCAGGTTAAGTTAGCTATTGTTACAGGCGTACGTGACATCATAAATGTCATTACTTTTACTAGTTAAACTGTCATGCATGTTATTTCGAAGTTTGTTTCGTCTGACGAACTTGTTTTCCGAAATATTACAATAAGTGAGCAGCTAGAGAAACCAGACACAGAATGCTGACCCCAAAAATACTAAACCTAACCTAGCTCTAAGAAAGAGAAATGACTTGACTCCACGTAGCAGCAGATTATCTTAGCTAATTCAGCTGCAAAGTATAGAGTGGGATGTCACCAGCGATGAATCTGCATCCTACAACACATTTTCATACTCACAAAAGAGGACTTACACGGTCCAGAGACGTCTTGATATGTTCCCTGGCTTTCTGGATCTCTTGAGTCAATGAACCTGGTTTCTTACAGTATTAACGAGAGGATAATAACGTACCAATGCTTCCCGAATTGCTGGAAGATCGTGTGAGGACAGATGGTTGACATAAGCTTTCTCAATGTCTGGGTAGTCAGGGAACGAAAGTGACCGCGTGTCTACAAGTAAACCTGCCTCCATTTTAGCACGCGACGAGACGTTTGAATATCCCACAGTCAGATGCTTAAAACATATTTAGGTGTTACAAGATACTGATTACAATTCTCTAAATTCTCAAAATACTAAATGATAAGATTTTCGGATTTCCTACCTGTGTTGCTAAAATGAGATTAGGGGCATGGCAATCTTCTTTGTCGTGTTTTACAAAGTCACAAAAAGGAACATTTAAGGATTACAGCATTTTTGGACAGTGGTTCGAATGATTTTAGACAGAATAGAAGAAGGCTTTGTCTAACTGGTTTCCGCATCTAGGATCCCTGGATCGGTACTTCTCGCGGTTAACCTGTGTACAAATAAAGACAGGGCAAAAAGTTGTGGGTGAAACCTGAAAATTCAGTTAGTTCCAGACAGGTCCCAACCTCATCTCAGATAAGTACCTAACCGGCTTTTCTGGGGTTCGAACGAAGTAATCTGGATCACATCTACAGGAAGAGCATTCCAGAGTGTTATATCTCCTAGGGAACAGCGGTTGTGCCTGAGATCTAACCTGTCATGTTCTAGGCTTATTCTCTGTGTATGTCCTTTAACATAGATACAGCAATCAAGATTTGATGGCTGACGGAGTGGGTATCCAGATTTTGTTGACCAATATAGTTTCCACTTATTCTCCTGTATTCCATGGGTTATAGATCAAATGCGACCAGCCATTTACCATGTGCTTTAGACTTAAGTCGTCGAAGCGATTTCAGCGACTCCCGCTTCAGCCTGCGAGAAGGAAGCAGCGTGGTCAAACAGAATTCTCGGTTCGGAAGCAGGCATGATTTTAGGTACAACTTGATGTCATCGCCAATCGGCTGTCAACGCCTCTGCACGTATGTTTCTTGTCTGTTTGAATAATCTGTGTGTGCATTCGGCGAAATCCATATTATGTTCGACCCACAGATGTCTTTTCAACCTAAGTAGTTTTCCAGTGAGGTTCCATACTACCCCAGGCAATTTGGAGCACCTCTATGTTGAAAGTAGAACAGGCTGGTTGACTGCATGCGCGATTTTGTTAAATATAAATCTACAGTAGGTGTTCACATACAGCCAGCCTGTTCTACCGCCATCAGAAGAGCCATAGTGTCAAGTACTCTGAAGCTCTAATGACGCTTAATGGAAGGCCTGGTGGACTTGCTTCGCAGACACACTGTGAGCTGTTAACAGCGTGCTCGCGGGATAGGGTTCAAGCCTCCTTCAATCGCGTTGTCGTCCTCACATGGGAGAGGAAACAGCTTAGGAGAGCTTTTCGTCAGATTCCGCTACTGCCCAGCCTCGGTAAATGCATAAACCCGTGACTCAGAAGTCAAGTATTTTAAGGGCTTATTTCAAAATCGACCGCTTTAAGACAAAACCCTTTCGCGCTTAAAGATAGGCCGACCTCGTGAATTTTGCCTTCCCGTTCCATACCCTTCTGGAAATTCTTGATTGCGGCGGAAAAATAAGGAAATGTTTCAGAGCCTGAAGTACTTTTTGAATCAAGAAGGTGATGGTCAGACCCCTATGGACACGATGCCGTCAGAAGACAAAAGCGGCTCTGGAAATCATGAACCGTCTGTTAAATTTGTTATCCCAAAGGCAATCTGACCGAAAATAATCTCGCCCAAATAAATGGTCTAGGATCAGACGATGCGCGGCATCAATTCTGGCATTCATGGTTTTGACGGACCGTTTGAGTTGAGTAGGTATGGCCGGGCGTCCACGCCACGTATCGTCGCTGTGTTACGTTGTTGTGCTGACATGCGGTCCTGTGGCTACTTAGTTTAAGCGCATTGATATCTTGGCGCTGTTTATTGAAAATGCCGTCCCCACCTCGCAAAGGACAATTCCTAGCTCATTAATATCATTGAGCTCTGAAGCATTTCAAGTAGACTTGGATCTTTTCCAAATAGGTACTCGCACTCCATAAACAGCTTTCCAGCTCCGAGTTGACCGGAGCTGTGTGCCAGATGATGGGTAAGGCAGTGTTCCAACTGAAATCAATGCCCAGTGTTACCGAGACTACTTTAGGATTTGCCCCGGTGCGAACTTGACAGACGCAAAGACCAATCACTAATTATTCGGACTTGTTATATGCCCACGAGTACGAGACCAAGGAAGAACACAATGGCGTAGTCGGATGTAATAGTATATTTGGGTGGTTGTACCTAGATACCGAAGCATTCCAACTAGCTGGCTAGAGAGTCGAATGCGAGCAGTGAAATGTAACACGACAGCTTGCCAAATGCCGAGGATGCCTGACCGGGTGCCTTCACCTTCAGTTAAGGAAACTCACCTTAAACATTTGGGCCTCGCATTCGAAAGGCTTAAAAAACATGGCTTCATAGTCAACTCACAGAAGTGTGAAATAGGAGTTGAATCACTCAGCTTCCTTGGGCATACCATTGACAACAAAGGTATACCCCCATTGAGAGATAAGGTGGCGGCTATCACAAACTATCCAGAGCCGACCACTGTGAAACATAACGGCACTTTCAATAGCCTGGTAAGTTACTACCGAAGGTTTATGCCCGACTGTGCCTCTGTCGTGAGACCACTAACAGATCTACTTCGAGGGAGTACGATACAATGCACTGTGAATTTGAAGTCCAGACGCATTGCGGAGGTCAACTTTTGCGAGTATCTGAGATGGATTGAATGGACTGTTTAGCCCAGCCTGAATTTCTTCCTGATGGAGTCTATTTTTTCCACTGTAGCCATTCCTGTGCGTTCGTTCGGTTTAATTATTGCAGTTACCATCTGTTTTTCAGCGGAATAATGGAGCCAAACGAACATTCACTGTTCCGTTTTTGTCACGGTATGGTGTGAATTGGTCACTAGTGGATATTTTGCACTTTGGCTCCCGTAATCTGCAGTGAAAAGCTTCTAGAGAATGTGACAGTGACTTATAGATAGCTGGAGGCCGACACTGAAAATATGGACGTTCTACCGCTTCCAAGTTGTCATCAATCGCAGAGAGTCCGTCTATAGTCAAACTTCTAGGTGTAGTAATGGAAGATCGGGGGGCCTACTTGCTGAAGTTCGCACGCCTCGGAGCAACCTCCCTTTGTTGCTGTCACATATTCACATCTACGCGTTAAACTCGACTATTTAATTCTCATCTTATACAGAAAACACTGCTAAATCATTTGTCTCTGACCTTTCTTCCTGCGTTTAATCTCGTCACTTCCCGCAGCATATTTGACAGGAGACCGCTCGAGATGCCGCTTGGGTCTCTGCACTATTTTCGAACCTATGGGTTGCACTCCCAGTCAAACTTTCAACCGTTCTTCGACCATTTCTCCAGACTTGCGAATCCGTCCATCCATTTTGTTTTCGTGACTCGAGAATCTGGAGCCAATACTGCCCCTCGAAATGAAACTTATCTCGGTTTCGCCCCGGCGGCGTCCGTTCCATTCGTCCTCTCCCTTCGCCTGTCTTGATATTACTTTCCCAGATTTGTGGGGGGAGATCATCCGAGATGAAAAGAATCTCGCCCACGAAGATATATTTTACATGAGATAGTTCATTTCCTGCTGATGCATTCAGTACTGATCGTTAATTATGAAGTAATCTTCGGAAATCTTCTGTAATCCCCATTCCTATTCCTTAGAAGTGGGCTGTTGGCATGCGCCAGCAAATCTTTCTGCCAAGCCGCTCAGTTGAAAACGGTGGTGTGGAGATCGTACACGTTGGGCATTGCTGCCCCAGAGAGCTTATGAAGATGACTTTATCCTAAATGTGTTCTATGAATTCCTTCTGTGACTTCCTAGAAGGCGCTAAGGCGCAGTAACTTGACTAAAACCATGAAAATGCTTGCGGCTCATTTTAATGGTTTCTTGAAAGATTCTGTAGAGTGATATATTTTTGGGACATAAGTTGATTAATCCAAGAGGTGAACATGGAGTACTTACACCGTATTGAGTGGGAATCTTCATGGTTTTCGCAGTGTTTACTAAGCCCGCCCAACAACCACCTCTAATCAACACAAATCCAAGGTTTCTGTTAGATTGCATGAAAAAATTACACTTCTTCTGGGGAAATGGAAACTAAATTCACAGAGTCCAACAATTTGCTGTCTCGATGATCGCTTACCATTCGGCATGCCCGCGTAACCTACGATATCATGATTTCCCTCTAAGCATTTGACAGAAACCCATTAGAAGCAAGGTCTATATTCTTTACAGTCCAGCGCAACTTCTTGTTTGATAAACTGCTACTACCTTATGCAGCCGATGATTTTCTTTCTCAATTTAGTCTGTTTCTTTATGAACTCCTGACGTTCCCCAACTACAGACCATACTCGGACACCCACAACACGGGGAAAAAACACTGTAAGGTGTGGCCTTGAACTTCTAGCTGATGTTTCGAACCTACTCCCGCTGTAATTAAGCAGTGACATGCAAGGATATCCCCTTGTTATATTTTCATTTATCTCTATATGATGCAGCCGACCCTCTTCACTTTATTTACATCTAATGCGACAATTTACTTGGCCGTGGCTAGCAGAGGAATCCTGTTTGATACTTGTCAGCGGAATGTACCTGTACCTTAGTGAGTGATGTTGTTCCCTCTTAGGCTTCTGTACCTTTCCGTATGTGAGTTACCTCTGGGTACCCTTGCCGACTGCCGTTACCCAACGTTCACATTCTCATTAGAAAAATGATGCAGTGTCATTCTGTAACCCTTAACCAGCCTTACTAGACTCGATGTGCTACAGCACCCACCGATTTCGCAGTTTACCGAGTGTGTAAGCACCGATAGCAAAACACAAATCAAAAAGACTGAGTTATTTAGGAATATGCCGGAGACAGCACTGCGTTTGAAGGAGCTAAAGGTGAAGGCGATTTCTGGGAAGAAAGCTTATTCAGCTTTCCTAGCCCCACAGTGGGGCCAGCAGCTCTGAGAAAGCACATGCTGACCGGAACAAAGACAACACAAAATGCCATAGAAGCCTGCTCAGGTGCATACTCGTTAAAACAACACTTAAAGCTACTTGAGCACCTGGAGGCAAGTCAGAATTTTATTTGGTCAGCTGGATTCAAATGA